AGTCTTATTTTTCATGCTGAGTGCTGTTGACGTCGACACAGATTTGAGAGAACAGACATTATTATTACTATTGTCAACTAGGGGAAGTTACGTAACAGACGATTTGATTCTCCAATGTTCTCAGTTCTATATTCGAAATTTATTCGAAATTAGTAGATAATGTTCTTATCGTTTCTCGAAGGTGAAATTATCTCACCTATAGTAATGATAAAATTGATTGCTGATTCATTTGAATATCAGGCCTCTAGGAATTCTCTGGCATTTTTGCAGTTCCCTTTGTCTAAGATTTGAACATTGTCCCAGTCGAATTGGTGCCCGTGGTTGTCTGCAATCAATAGACACATAGAGATTGACAAAATATACCAATCGATACGAAGAAATTCACACAAAAACAAAGTCAAACTTCAGGTCAAGGAAACAGTCAACACCAAAACAAGTGAACTGGAAAGCGAGAGGTCACACAAAAACAACCAATCACGTTCAAGGTTAGCAGAAGGAATGACTAACGACATTCAGACCAAAGAAGCAGCCAGCACCGAGACAAGCAAACTAGGGGGTGAAATGTCACACGAAAACAACCAATCACGTTCAGGCTTACTAGAAGAGATGACTAATAAACTCATAGATAATTCTAAGAGCTCACTTCACATCGAAGTATGCACTGAAGATGTTGCTCAGTAGAGCAATGAAAGCTTTGCAACCAAACCATCCAGCTCAGAGAACACAACCACACCAAAATCATCCACCTGAGCTACAGATCTTCTCTACTATATTTATATCTATTATTATTATTACCCCTTGTTGACTTTGATTACTTCATGGCGCATCTTAAATTAGTAGTCCCAGGGAAGTTTTTTAATTTAAAACATGCTAAAATCCCTGCTACTTTCCTTTGGAAGACGTATACATTTGCTTGTACATGTTGGCATAAAAGGAACTACTAGAAACGTCTTCTTCAAAGAACGTTATAATAACAAGAATTTCAGAAGGCCTGTAATTCTTAAATTGGAAGCTCCAATCATGGATTTCGGAAATCATCTAACAATCAAGCCCAAAATATAATATTTTTGCTGTAGAGATATGAAAATGGCCTCAGTATTATTTTTAGGCATAGGACTCAATAGAAATCTTTTGGTATCCATATTAATACTGTAGGTAAATGGTAACGTCTCTGTTTGAATCATGGGGTGAAGCGGATTCGAATCTCAGAGGGGACATGAGTTCCTTCAAGAGTGAAGATATGCCTTGCTGAAGATTATTAACAATCACGAGACCTAGATCTTTGACGTCCTGCCAATTCCCACCCTGCTTCTATTCTTGTTGATTTTGACCTCGTAACATATTCTTTTTGATCTGTCCACAGAATATGCACTAATTTTATCGTATGCTTAGAGGGAAAGTGTGCATGTTTGTTCTTAGGGAAGGTGTTCACTATACTTTCTCATGATTCCCTCTTGCATTAGTTCTGATTGAGGAAAATTCTCTTCTTAACTTAGTAAGGTTGATTACCAGTAGTTAGTTTAGATATTTGCGACCTGCCATATACCCATTCAGATTATTTCTTGGTGTTAGATTTATTTATTAGTAAAGGGATAGGGAAAGTAACCATCAGCTTGTTTAGCCTCCATTGAACGACTCAAATAAAAACACGTACAACAGTTTATACAAAAGCAATAATACACGACAAACAGGCTTCTGAATATGTTAATAGAGGATTTAAACAAATCAAAAATTATTAACTTCACAGTGTATTATTATTACTCCCTAAGGTTCCGAGTGGAACATACAGATTCAACAGCACATCTCCAAGTTTTCCTGTTCGATGTAGTCCTGTTTAGCTGGCTCCACAATTATCCATAAGCTCATGCTCGAAGTGATGCCTAACCCGTCGTCTACCCGACGGATCCCACTCGATTGACATGCCTGGCATGTGATTTCGTCCAGCCTTCTCCGGTGAGTTTTTTCAGCATTTTTGTCGGACAACTGGCTGTTGGTTGGTTTGTTGTTAGAGTTTCTTATCGTTAAACCTTTCCAGCCTTTTGATTTTCATTATGGAGTGAAAGGGATAGGTGTTGATGAAAGTCTTCAGCTGCACCGGAGATAGGACTAGACATATTACACTAGTTACTGACTAGTGTGCAATCAAAAATATCCACTACAGTCCTACAGGAGGTCAGTCGCGAGCCTGAATAGCTCAGTGGTAACGTCTCTGACTGCAGCACTGGGTAACGCGGGTTTGAACCTTAAAAGGGACATCAGTTCCTTCAAGTTTGCAGATACGCCTTGCTGATGAGTGCCAACTAGCACGAAACCTAGGTCCAAGGCTTCCTTCCGATTGCCTCCAACCATCATATACCAACAGCTAACAAAAGTTTTACATTTGTTTACCCATACATACATACATCACACACCGCTGTATACCGCATATACACATATATTTTCATATTCCGTTATCTACAAACATGAACTTTTAGTCAAACGTGATCGCTAAAATTCTGATGAAAAGTACACTCTATTTAAAGTGTTTAACAAAAGTAGACTAATTATATTCTTAAGTCTGAGGTCAAATTTTGATCACAGCTCACAGAATTTTGTTTACTACATTTTGATGACTGTTTCGTGACTCATATGATCGGACAAAGTATATTTTTAAAAACAACATATGCTCTTTTTGCATATAAACCTCTGTTATCTTCATTTCAATTAATTTCCCTAAATACGTTCGTAACAGTTTGCCAAACGAAACGTTGGAATTACTCACTTCAGTTTTGCTGAGATTTTACAAATATAAATTTTACAAATGTCCACTTCTCAATCAGCGCCCAATTGATTTGGAAATATTCTGTCAAATCTTGATCACAGTTTATCTGAATTTCAAAGGATGTGTAGAATTTCACCGGAAGTCAAACTACGATCTGCGGCTTGGAACTGTGATATTGTAACAACAGAAGGCAAGACACGGAAGCCAAGGTATATTTTTCATTGATCAAACCGCTGTTTATATATATATATATATACGATTTGAGAGTGTGGAAAATTCCCATATTATGAATTAAAAGTCAATCTAAACGAAGAATATTCTTTTCAATAATTTCTCTTTAGGTTCTTACAATCATAAAATATAATATTTGTTCATTATAATAAAGGCTTTTGTATTTCCCAATGAATGAAAACAAAACGACATTGTTTTTACTGACGTTTTGCTATTTAATGCTAATAGCTTTATCGAAGTATTATAATAATGTATAATATTTGTTGTCGTTACAATATAGGCCAGTTATGCGGCAGATACATTTTTAACGTAGAATAATAGATTAGTTATGGGGTGTCAAAATAAATAGTCGAATTTGTGTGACAAACGTGCTAGGCTGAATTCGATTACAAAATATTGTAAAACGGCAGACAATGGTGATTAATCATAATAGATTTGTAGAGTGTGGGGTAGGAAAATTGACAAGTCAGTTCAAGGTTATAAAAGGTGTCAGGTGAGTGGCTAGTACAAAGTGGTCTGTGTTAAACAGAAGATAGTAAGACTGCAATGAGAGGTTCATAATGAGATAACGAATATGTGAAATGTAACAGGTGGAGGCATATATTGAGAAAAGAGATAATATCACTAATAATAAGTCCGGATAGTATAAACGAAAAATTCGATAGTATTGAGAGAATATTTGCATGAGGAGCATAAATTATGACGAATAATAATAATAATTGTAATAATAAGCAAAGGGAAAAAAGGCCAAGAGGGTTAAGGGGAAGAAGCACTCTTGGTGATAAGAAGAATCATCAATCCAAGTTTGGCCACGGTAGGAACAGCGTCTGGACGTGTTCTTTTTGGATGCAAAGTTCCGGTTTAGTCGATCTTATTGCAACAGCTTCAGCTATGTGTAGGCGACGTAGGTGAATTGCACGTGATAACGACTTCGGAATTCGGTATTTAACCCTGAAAGCTGTATTGACATCGATATGATGTCCAGTATCGACCAAGTGTGACAGGATCGAGCTTTTTATGCACTTAATTTCCCCCCTGCTGAACCAAGCTGGTAAATGTTCTCGAACCCGTAGACGAACCTGTCTAATCGTGCGCCCTATATAACTTGAACCACAGGAACAGTTGAAATGGTATATGCATGAAGAAGAGCTAAGCTTAGGTAAGACATCTTTGAGTTGCTGGGTGAACATTGGACGGCTACTGAAGGATAGACCCAGACGTGCAGAGTAGAAAGTTTTCTTGATCGCCCTGGTTAAACGTTGCGATAGAATCTCCGCAGGAGTATCTCTCTTGAATTGGAGACGTAAAAGCAGAGGCTTTTTCTCCACCGTTGCCAGTTCATGTTTACGGCTATGTTGGCTTTAATGAACTTCTCTGGATATCCGTTCTCGCTTAGAATGTCTCGGATGACCTGGAGTTCTTTCTCCTTACATTTAACGACATGAAATAGAACGTTCAGATACATAGTATTCTGTTGCTAACGCAATGTTGAACTGTGTGAATATGTGAGAATCATAATGCTTTGGAACACATTGTCTGTATCACACCACCACGATATGATCATGGTTCCTCTGTTTCAGCTGTACTCATTACGCCTGTGCTAAATGATTGATCTTCCAATAAACATTTAATTTGGATAGTTCAGTTAACAATATTCTCTCTATAAAGTGCTTGGTCAGATTGCTAAGTATGACACAGTCCTTTTCAGCAGACACTTTGTTTGACCTCACATATTTAGTGAAATACATGTATCTAAGATACATTCTGGTATGCATAGTACTGTAACAATTTGTTTAGAATAAATTTTATATAATTTAAACAAGGTGATTACAAAATAGCCTGTAGATAATTTATTGTATTTTTGACATGTATCAAAAATCTTCATTTGTCCAACAAATCATAACAGTTTCGCCTTAATATAAAGGCATCAACGAAAACTGTCACAATTAAATCGTCTGTTTGAATATATAAATCATTAAAAGAATTATTTGTGAGGATACTGTTTGTAATGTGTATAAAAATAGAAATCTATGAATGTGATTCAGGAAATGCTTTGCAATCCCTTTCAAATCGCATTATACCAACAATGGGTAAGTGACTGTCATTGCTGCCTTTCATAAAATAATTCTTTTTGTAAATTATTTGCGATGATTAAACTTTGTGTGATCAACACTGTCTACTTTTTTTGTTCGTTTATTTTCCCAGTGGAATATAGGGCTTCAAGCTAGAGGCTTGAAGTTTCGGTAGAAGTGGTATTTATTTTTACGGGATGGGGTTGCTAGCCTCATGCCTAACCTCCCCTCTTTACCAGTCTTATTACTGGCTTAGCGAGCGAGGTTTGGTAGTGCGTCGGCTGGGGATTGAACCTCAAAACACATTCGTGGTTGGTGAGCATTCTAACTCTGTGCCACCAACGCACTGTCTACTTTTACTTATGATTAAGAGGTTTTTCAGCTTGACTTCTGTGTTTATAAATATTCCCCTCATATATGAAACGAAGATTTATTTAGAAGAACGCATGAAATATTTGTGATGAGTTCATCTGTAAACTCGTGCATGATTTGCATTTATAAATCTAGAAAACAGAAAGATTGAGCGAAGAAATATTTACTTTTCAATTAGATCTTCATCTCTGGCTCTACTCTAATATATAAAGCATTTTTATAACAATACACAACGGTTTACCAAACAAGCGGCGATATGTTTGTTAACAATAATTAAACAGTGTCAAAATGTCAATGGGTTGATAATTAAAGAAGAAAATCAAAACACATTTAAAAGGTAGAAATGGATAACACGTAATTAAAGATGAAGTGCTCAAAATAAATAAAAATAAAATAATTTAGACAATTATAACTTTTATAGTTTTTAAAGGTTTAGGGTGAGGGAGGCAATGTAGTCCTGTTTATGCATTCTTCTAGAGATGGCCACGGTAAGGAAAGTGGCTGTACAAATTTCTTCTGAACACATAGGCTTGGCATCTTCAGGTGGATTCCGATGGCTTCAGCTGTCTGTAGAAGACGAACTCGTAGAGCAAAATTAAGATTAGTCGGAATGCGATAAATAATTTTAAACGCAGTATTAACATCAACCTTATGCTCAGTATCAACAAAGTGTGCTAAAATAGAACTACGAATAAATTTTATTTGTCCCTTACTTAACCATGCTGGATGATGTTCGGAAATACGACGATGAACCTGCCTAATTGTACGCCCAATGTAGCTGGCTCCACAGCTGCATTCAAACTGGTAGATACACATAGAGGAGGCAAATTTAGGTAGTTTATCCTTATTTCTGGAACATAGAATAGGGGTGGTTGTGAAGAGACAACGTACCTCTGCTGCATAATAAGCTCTTTTAACTGCATTCTTCAGGCGCTGTGTTATTATTTCGCCGAGGAACTGCAATTTTATGAACATTGGTTTTTTCGGAACTGTAGCCATACTGACTCTCCTTGGTGCTAAATTCATATTTTTCTCAATGAATTTATCTGGATAACCATTTTTTCTAAGTAATTCTCTAATAATCTTAAGCTCCTCATTGAGGCAGTCGTCTGAACAGATTAACCTAGCTCTATGAACCAGACACTTTACCAGGTTACGTTTATATTTCAAAGGTACAAAACTCAAAAAATGAGTGTACTGACCTGTTGTTGTAGGTTTCCTATACACACCCCTTCTTAGTGTGCCATCTTCTTTCCTTGCCATGAAGACGTCTAGGAATGAGATACTATCATTACTTTCTTTCTCTATGGTAAAGTTTATTGCTGAATGTACATCATTAAACCTGCCAAGGATGTTCATTGCATCATTCTCGTGTTTCATAACCATAAATGTATCATCCATATATCGACAGTAGAAACCCATGTCATTAATTACTCCTTTCAGTGGTCCATTCTCTAATTTAGCGAGGAAAAAATCAGCTAGGATTGGACTTAATGGGCAACCCAAAGCTACACCATCAATTTGTCTGTAATATTCCTTACTGGATAAGAAATGAACATTCATTGTACATCTTAAAATAAGTTCCTTCAAGGTGGATATCGAAATCCCGATGTCTATGTTTCGTGTAGTAATCTGCTCACATATAAAATTCACTGTCTCCATTAACGGTACATTGGTGAACAAAGAGGATACATCAAAAGATATCATAAACTTGTCCCTCACATTAAGATCTCTTATTTTTTCAACAAATTTAAAACTGCCGTTTACACTATGTTTTACCAATTCATTATGCAGAGGCTTTAGGAGCTTCACTAGCCATTTTGCTGTTGCGGGATATGGGGAATTACACATGTCCAACACTGGTCGAAGCGGCAAACCGAATTTATGCACTTTTGGTAATCCATATAATCTTGGTGTAACCGTGCCAGTAGGCTTCAAAGATTCATATAAACCGTCTATGATGCTACTTTGTTGTTTAAGTCTTTTTAGTGATTCACTTAGTTGTTTCTCCACTTTTTCTCTCGGATCGTTGGAAGATGTAATTTTTTGAAATTTTCGATGATCACTGAGTATTCCATTCATCTTATCTATGTATTCAGCTTTATTCATTATTACTACTCCAGAGCCTTTATCAGGTTTCGAAATTATTATATTCTCATTATTTCACAGCTTATCTAGGGCTTCCCTGTGTTTCTTGGTCAATAAGCTATTTAGTTTCCGTTTACTATTTATATATTTATAACAGCAGTCGACTAGAATTGATTTAAGACTACTTGTTTGGTAAACTGAGGATCTAATTGAAAAGTAAATATTTCTTCGCTCAATCTTTCTGTTTTGTTAATATATAAATGGGAATTCTTTTTATATTTATAAATCTGTATGTGGATTTTCGCCAGTGTCTTTCAAAGCCCTTACTTATTCAGATGTCAAATGCGATATTCTTACTATGGAGAACAGAAATCAAACAATCAAGCTCATTTGCTATTACGTAATTGACATTAGTAATTCGATACCAATCATACCGAACAGTAGTGATCGCTAGACAGGTCAAAGTTGTACATGCATTAGGCATCCGTTTTGCTCACTTGGGGATAAACACAACAGTGGTACACCCAGTTTGGCTAAGTTGAGACAGCCTAATCAGTTCAAATCACTCAGATTCTGGCTAGCTACTTGGGCGTCCTGGTAATACATTAAACAGAGTTCTCAATTTGCAAAATAATTCGTGATTAAGCACTACTGGTTGTTGAGAGCGATATCAAGCTACTCATAGTGGAAATCAGTAGCACGTAGGAAAAACGTAATCTGCTGAAATTATTGTATATTAATAGTTGTTGAACTTAATGCACTCCTGATAACTTTATATTTCTTATATATGGTTATTTTGAGGTCCTGGAATCTCTTGTCTGACATATCAGTCTTTCAAAGTATACTTTTACATCCAGATTACTCGAAGCTGTCCAAATGTCACAGAGCTTTGGACGCAACAGTAAGGCTTGCATTTAGTACTAGTTTTTCCTTTACCATCCCAGTGGAACATAAGGCTTCAGGATAGGGCTTTGAAGTCTCGGTAGCAGTGGTTTTATTTTTACGGAGTGGGAGTGATAGCCAAATACCCTCTTTACCGGTCTTACTACCGGCTTAACGAGGTTCAGGAGTGCGTCGGCCGGGGACCGAACCCCTGGCCAATTACGCGGTCGGCGAGAATTCTACCGCTAAGCCACCAATGCACACAAGCTGAAAAAGTATTTTATAGACTACATAGATCCACTTTACAGAAGACCTTGTAATGATACAAATCTCAAATTCATAAGTCCAGAAATCTGGAAATCACTAATTATTTCAGTGTCTAGATTGGTTCATTGAATAAACAAATGCTTTCAGCTACATATATCAGTATTATGAATACAGTTTCTGAAGTAAACTATAAATTCTGCTGGTGACAACTGGATGGCTTAATGCGAATCGTGCTAATAGCTTCTAAAATTGTATATTTTATGAAAGCTTGGTGTGTTGTAGGCCTCACACTTGTGTCATTTGTTTATGGTCTCAGTTATTACTCTGATTTCAAGTACCATTCACAGCATACATTCCATTTCACCAGCCGAAATCCAATCTATATTGCTTCTTGATCAATTCATTTATGATAAATTTCCAACTACATTTCTAGCTTCATCCGTGTATCACTTCCAAGTGTTCAGTAGTTTCAATGTATTTTTAATTACATCACAGATTTACGGAGTTATGGAGAACAGATTTCCTCCAGACCCTTTGTTTTATGAAAATAAAGTTTGATTTTATCGGTAAAAAAGACAAGAATTTAGTTTCTTAATACTTGAAAATTAATCTGATGCTCACTAGTGACTGGCCCTATTCAGGCAGTTAACCTGGGGTTCTAGTGGGAAGCCGTGACCAGTAGGGTACAGCAGGTTGAAGATGTGACAGTAACTCATCTAAGAAGACATTGCGAAATGGTCGCGCTATGTCGTGAATTGGCAGAAGTTAGAATTCAAGGACCATTGGATCGGGTCCCAGTGGCTCAATGGTCTACGAGCTCGCCTTGTAACCAGAAGGTCCTGGGTTCGAATCCCGGTGGGTACGTACTGCTGAAGAGTCCCAAACTAGGACGAAACAACTGTCCAGTACTCTCAGGTTTTCCAGTGGTTCTCTAACTGATGTCAGCTCATGATGAAATCCCCCATACAATTAAAACAAAATCCCTACCAAACCAATACTTGAAAAATATTTTCGGCAACAGTGAAGAATAGACATTAACTTCAGACGACCTTGGAAGAACCAAACAGGTTCTACGTGAAAAGTTTTCATTTAATCCACACAAAAAAAGTATTTATAATATACATGTTACAAACATGAATTATACAGGGCATATGTCCCTAATATGCGGTAAAAATCTGTCCCAGTAATTCATCGAAGTGTCTGCAGATATATAAAACCATTTACGATACAAAAATTTATCTAAGTGACTGTTTATCATATTTTAATAAGGGAGAGTTTCGATTTCAAGAGAAACGTACCTAAAAAGCCACCATAATTTATGACTAACCAATCCTTACAGACTTACTCATTTAATAATAATAATTTGCTTTATTCCAAAAAACAGTACTAATGATACAGCAAGGAATTTTCAGCATTCAGTACAATATTGCATCTAATTTACTCAAAAACGACAACAACAAAAAATAATTAAACGAAATAATTAATACATAATAATGATAACAAAACGTTTTTCTAGCAGCTATGTAGCAGTTACAGTATACGATAAGGAGAAAAATACGCATAAAGTATAAAATTATAGTAATAATAGTAATAACAACTAAAATAAAAATAGTAAAGCTTTCATTAAACGATAGAAAGGGTGACACCATAAAATTACAGAAAGATGAACAATGAAAGGGTCGATTCACTTTGCTAATATAATAGTAATTTATATGTTTCACGTCTAACAGAGTCTTCATCACATAAAATACGGTCTAAATACGGTATTGTAGAATTTTTGTACTTAGTGGTACGAGTATATAATTTCTTATATTGACTTCTCGTTCTGCCTGATGAGATACAAGGGGAAAGTTGTGAATAAAGAGGGTGCAGAGGGTCTGACAGTACGGCCTTTGCCCAATTTGTACAGGAATTTACGTGTCTCTCGACTTTAGTATTGGCGAGCTCACGCAGTGGCAAACCACAAGCCCTACTCACAGCATTTAATACCCTTCGTAATATGACATAGTCTTTTTTAAGAAGCCCAGGAAAGATTAATGGAGAACAATAAAGTACAATGGGTAAAATACAGGAGTTTAAAAATTGCAGAACTAAAGGTTGGTTGATACCTGATTGTCTTAACTTTTTAATGTAGAAGGTAGGACGAAACATTTTCCTAGAGATCAATAAGATGTGGGATGACCATGAAAGGTCAGAGAAAAGAACTAATCCAAGGTATTTAATGCTTGACTTGGTTTCAATTTCTGTGCCATCTATGCTACATGCATCATGGGAACTAATTAGTTCATGTATGTCACGTCGATGCTTGAAAGTAAAGTTAACTGCCTGACATTTGGAATGATTTAACATAAGACCATTTGACTTAGACCACTTGCTGATGTCCAACAGAAAGCTATTAAGTTTGGAGCAGTCAGACTCGGAAGTGATAGACAGTGATACATTCAGACCATCAGCATATTTAACGAAGTTAGTTTCGTTTAAATGTGGCAGGTCGTGTAGGAAGAAAGAAAAAAGAAAAAGAGAGAGGACGGCACCTTGAGGAACACCGAATTTTGTAGGCAAAGCAGAAGAAGATTTGCCATTATATGCAGTATACTGCATTCTATCAGAAAAATAAGAATGCAACCAACTCTTAGCCCAGGATGCTGTGTGCATCAAGGAGAGCTTATTTAATAAAAGGCCCCTAGGTACAGAGTCAAAAGCAGATGTGTAGTCTAGGAAAGCACCACGAACATATTTGGCACCTTTGTCTAAACAAGAAACAACATTATGATATAAGACAACCGCAGCATCCAAGGTACTTCTACCATGTTTATATGCAAATTGCTTAGGATCATTAAAAGCTTTCAATGAAGGTTCAAAACGAAGTAAAAGTAGTTTTTCCATCAATTTTAAAAAAGGAGAAGTAATTGCAATAGGCCTAAATTTACTATCGGTACCAGAAGATTGTTTTGGTATAGGGATAATTTTAATGTTTTTCCATGCAAAAGGTAGAACATTACTGAAAAAGGAAGCATTAAAAATATTAGTAAGAGGGTAACACAAAATATCAGCACAGTTCCTGAGGACAATGGCAGGTACGCCATCAGGACCAAGGCGGTGGTTGTACAACCAAACAGGGGTTGTACCTAAATGCATGACCGTCGAAAGCCCAGCACTACTTTTGCAAAGTCATTGTCCCTCCACATATCAAACTCTTAGTCCTCCCTATCAACCTGCTTTCTACACAGAAGTCAAAAACTAAATCTAGGGAAACTTGCAAATATTGTTATGAACAGCGTTCATTTGTAATGTGGAGGCATCTGACTGAAGGTCATTTGATATTGGTGTCTATTATTTACACTTGCCACATTTTTGAGTATTTCAGACTTAAAGAACAGTCAGTGTCTCATCCTTATGGTGAGCCAATGGCACTTTCATTTAGTAGGATCTGGTCAAGTTAAAATATAAGCTCCACTAATTGCCAATCAGTGAATGGCCTTGAATGGCCCAATAAGTTTCATCCATGTGAGTTGAGGTTTCTGTTCCGTTTGATTCCTGTCAAACATCAGGGAAGGTAAGCCGACGATTTCAGTATTTTGTAGATATATTTTTTATCAGGTCTCCCTTGTTCTTAACCCAGATTTTGTATATTTGCATTCATTGGATTTTAAAACAATCTTCAATAGGTGTAGCTTCTGAAACAAAGAAGATAGTTTATCAATAGTTCAGTGAAGAGAATTACTTCGTTATTAAGAGGAGAAGGTGTCATTGTACACGTGAATGTGTGGAAAGGCTATAACTACCTGTCATCCTTTGAATATATTCAACACAGAGTCAATCATTCTAATGATTTTGAGGATCCCACTAAAGGGACACACGTCACTTCTATAGAAGGCTTTTGGGGAAGGTTAAAAACAGGATTAGAGCAATTAATGGATCTCAAAAGTATGTCCTTTATAGTCATTTAGATGAATGTGTATGTATAGAATTATATATGTCCAAACCAAGTTCACTTTTAACGGTTTGAAAAAATTTGGGCATTGGGTATATGATATTCATTATAATAAAGGTTTTATTGTATTTCCCAATGAATGAAAAACAAAACGATATTGTTTTTACTGACGTTTTGCTATTTAATGCTAATAGCTTTATCAAAGTATTATTAAAATGGAATTTACAAAATCTCAGCATATATATATATATAACAAAGAGTTAAGGGGTGAGAAAATAGACTTAGGTCAAGTTAAAGGGACATATTGAAAGTAAAAATAGCAATGAAGATCACTAAACCAAATAACAAAGGTAACAGTACATCTGTTATGATATCAAAATAAAGTTTACTAACTTGATTATCGTTTGTCAGTATGGGGGCATTTTTTAGTTGTCAAGTTGGTCAATTGGTAAAGATGACAAAATCAATTGTGGATTGTTGGATTTGATCGGTGTGTAAAATTATAAAAGTAGTGTGTGTTTACATAGTGAACTTGGTTATCACATTCGTGCTGATTTTGTCACTTGATGGGGGAGGGAGGTGCTGTAACCAGGTCAGATTCTGTTTTAATCCATCATTCCTATTCAGGCAATTTTGATTTCACTTGATATGAAGTCCTTCTGATATTAGACGTTCTTTGTGATTTCTGAAGTTTTTCTGGATTATTTCAATATTTTGGTATAGCTTTCCAATTGATACTCGTATGATCACTTGGGAGATGTTTTTACCACATTTCAGAGAAACGTATCCTATGAAACATTTTTATGCAGTTTTCATGCATTTTTTCTCATAAGCAAAAGTGTCTGCTTCATTTGTTTGATGTGTTCAAGGCCATTCGCTGATTGGTAGTTAGTGGTGCTTAAAGTTTAGCTTCGCCTAGTATCTTTTTCGAAGCATGACTGAAAGGCGCTGTTATCGAATGCCTTACAGTTCTTCTCATACAGACTAAGATGCTGTTAAAATGCACATTATTTGTATATGAATATGACAGTTTAAAGCCACTAGACGTTTTTGGTGGCGGTTATTATGTATATCAGCTTACTGTCAGGGTAACTGTCGTTCTGTAAAACGAGAATTAGGACGATAACTACACGATCCCTAATTGTACATTTTATTGTTTCTGGGTATATACTTGGATCTGCGCTTTATTTACTGACAGAGTGTTCAGGTATATGGTGCGATGTCGTAAAATGATGTAAAAATATTGAATACCAACTGTATGAAAGCATCGTATGCTGCTAATACTATCTCCTCTTGTACTTTTCTTTGTAGAAGACGGCAATTATCTGACTTCTCCATTGGGTTTATTTTTTACACTATGTACACTGCTCGGTTCAGGTGGAGCTAAAAGTAATACAGGTCTACAAATTGCTAAAGCATTACACATACAATCTTGTCAACTTGTTCAAGATGACACCAGTTTAGAAGGTTGTGCAGTGCAAGCTACACTTTTATATTCTTCAGTGTTGAATTCATTAACTAAGGAAGTTACAGAAATTGATGCAGACAAGAGAAAAGTGATAACTGTGGCTCATGGGATATTTATTAGGGAGAATTCGCAGGTTGGAGAAGAATTTCAACGTCAATTAATGGACAGCTTTCATCAAAGAGTTTATAAGGTAAGCTTTTCTAAAATCATTAAGGATTTTAATGAAATATTCTAAAAATAGATCCATTAAAATTTATCAAATATTTTTTTAACCGATAATATTAAATTTTATATACAAGATGTTTTTACTAGTTCGTCAGAAGAAGGATTGAAAATACCTTAGTTATATACATATATATATATATGTTGGTGGTCGAATGGTTGGACTCTCATCAACCACGCGCGTGGTCAGTGTTCCAAATCTGACTGATACACACCCAATCTTCTATTGGCTAGTACGAAGCCAAATAAAGAGGGAAGGTTAGGCGTCAGCCTAAGAACCCAACCCCGTAAAAACAACAGTGCCAGTACTGAAATCAACATAACAGAAGTGGCTGAATAGTTCTGTTTTGTATACAGAGCTCCATTTTCTCAGAAGCGCAGAGCAGATGGAAGTGTATTGTCTTTCATTTTTTAGATTACTTTGAAGTAGAACTTTTGTGATATAAAGTGACAAATGTTGACAAGGTGTTCGATTATTGCATTCCTTATAGAGCAGCTACTAACTTTTTCGCAGCCATGTGGGATAGTGTTCTTGAACATTTTTGGACAGGATACGCGTCGAAAGTCCGATGTACCTGGCTCCACAGCAACAGAAGAACTCATATATACCCATAGAGGTAATCAGATGCGAGATCTCATCTTCCAAACTTCTGGAGACCAGTGGACGACTGGGGAACACTACTCTTAGCACTGCTGCGAAGAGTGTTCTACTTAAAGGTGTAGAATATTTGGTTTTAAGAACTTATTAGGTTAAATCTCCCTTGAAATCAAGGTTCATGTAAGGTTGTTTTTTATCACAAATGATGTTTTGTTTCTTTGAAATGGTTCGATTTTCTATCTAATGCATCTCGGTAGCTGGTGAATATCCATTTTGGCTGATTTATTTCCAAAGATCTAATTCTTCTTCCATAGCGTCAAAGCCACAGATGTCATTGGCGAGGGATTTAATTAAATTTCGTCTTCATTCTACTTTCCTTTATCTTATTTTGTTCACACATAAGTACTTTAATAAACGGTAATAATACTAGTGGGCTTTTCTATGTTGAAACACCTAGCTTTGTAATGTTCATGTAAAACTCATAGCTGTGACTGATATTAACTTCAGTTATCAAGTATTATATATTATTTGTAGGTCAGCTCCGATTATATCGCATGCATGCTTAAAATGTTTTAACGTTATTTTACTAATTATTAATATACACCACCCGGACAGTAACTTATATTTGTGAATAAGTCTATTTCGAATGAATACATATAGTGAGTAACTGACCTATGTAGGGTGTTTGAAACGCACTCATTTTTTAACATACTATGTATTAAAACAATAAAAGTACTTTAAATCAATAGAAGGTGAACTGATTTAATCATGATTACATTGCAAGAAAGTTAAGGACAAGATTAAGCTAACAGATAGTTAAAATTCAAACATTTCTCCGAAGTTTTCAAATATTAGTTTTGTAGGGATTTTATTCGATTGCATTGAGGGCCATTGGATTGGGTCTCAGTGACTTAATGGTCCACAGCTCGCTTTGTAACTAGGAGGTCCTGGGTTCGAATCCTGGCTGTGGGTGCATGCTTCTGCAGAGTCCTAAACTGGGATGAAACAGCTGACTGTCCTGTACTCCCTGCAGGTTTTCCAGCGGTTCCTTAACCGATGTCAGCTCATGATGAAATCCTCCAACCGATTTCTCCGAAGTTTTCCGTTAATACCTTTATTTTTTGTCGCATGATCATTGCTATTCCCTGAGGTTCCGAGTGGGACATACGGCTTCAGCAACACATCTTCATTTCGCCCTGTTTTCTACAGTCATTTATATCTGGCTCCACAACTGCTTATGAATTTTCATTTTCTCCTCATACAATCTCCTTCATGACACTCTTAGATGCTCACTTATTCGTTTCTCATTCAGGCTCCACTTGAAGGCTGGTGCGTGATGTAACTCAACAGTCTCCTTGATGAGTGTTTAGTCTATTACTATTTCCTTCGCTTTATTTTTTAGGCAATAGATCGTTCGTTGGCTGGTTGTCGGAGTTATTCCTTCCTCGTCCTTTCTAGCTAGTGATCTGGTCCTCAGTATCTAGGTAATGGAGACAGATGTTGTTGAAAGTCCGCAGCAAGCTGCTGAAAAGGCTTCCACTTACGCACACTCTAAGTCTCAGATCCGTGTTGAAGCACTACCATGACATCAGGGTTTAATATCCGGATCATTTTCTTCATGCAGTAAATTTCCTTAAGGATTTCGGAGAAATAAAGGTTATTCTTTCTCTACCGTTCCTGGCTTTGGCGTCTTGTTTTTTTATTCCTTTACGTTCCCAGTGGAACATAGGGATTCAGGCTAGAGGCTTGAAGTTTCTGTAGCAGTTGTATTTATTTTTACGGGATGGGGTTCCTAGCCTCATACTTGACCTTCCCTCTTTACCAGTCTTATTACTGGCTCAGTGAGGTGAAGGAGTGCATCGGTGACCGAGGATCAAACCCTTGACCAAATGCGTTGTAGTTGAGCCTATATTTTTTACAGAGATGAAAGTCACTTGTTCCTCATTTAAAAAATCTTTTTATACGGTTAAACTGCCATACTACTTCACAAATAAATTCATTTACTGTTTTCTAATTTTAATCTGTTGACAAAAGATCAGTTCAACTTTACATTCATTTTTGTTTCATAGGTCAACTTTGCAGATCAAAATTCAACTATGAAGTCAATCAATGAATGGGTTGAGAATAAAACAAATGGTTTGATACCACAATTTTTCAACACTCCTGAAGAAGTTATACCAAACTCTTTTTTGAGTTTATTTAGTGTCTTTCATTTCAAAGGTGAGTGGTGAGTAACAGTCAGTCAGTACCTGACTAAGAGCAGCTGGTCCATGTATTCTATAAACTGTCATAACACCTGATCACTTGTGTGTTGAACGAAGAAGTTTGTTGACCACAACTATGTTACTAAGTTATCTTGACAAAAATTACATTTATTCACGGGAATTTGAAGTTTTAAGCCTTCACAAATACTTAAATGATTTGTGAACTTTTCAGTGAAACTGGTTTGATTTAATAAACTTTACTAACAATCTTTAGGATTGTCAATCCGGATTGTTTTAAACCGGTACACAGAGATCTGCACAGAAAGATGTCCATTCTGGTTATCGTATTTTGGAGGTGAACACATGGAATATGAGAACAGAATGACAGAGAAACTACAATGAATACTAGTGATTGTGAGAATGAAAAAATTCATGAGGTCATGAATAATTTCGACATTTCTTTTGATGCTGTTCAGTCACTCACTATTAGCATTCTAAAGATGCCTTCCCAAAGATCTCTGTCACTCTGTGTGCAATGATGACCATATAGAAACATGGTTATTTGATACCAGGATTTATTTTGACAACCTCTTGCATCTTCCCTACACAACCCTACTGGTGGCTCTCTGTGCCCAGAAATGGATGATATGTCAACCCAATTTAGGTATTCAGATGCTTTATATTAGATCTGTATTATGAAGGCCGAAATAAAAACCAGTGAAGAATCTTCAATAAATAGAAAGTTGGTACTGAAAATTATTATTCTTGCAGACTGATTAGTCCGTTGTTTCTGAAGCGCAAAGGACACCCTTGCTGTAGTGTCAGTCACGATTTGCTATAACTTGGATATACAATGTAGGATAAATATGGACACTAAAACGGTAATACATAAAAGGTTGTGATAAACGGTGATATCTTAATTTTTTCTGTCAGCATTGATCACATCATACTGCAACGTTTTCCATGTTGTTCCGCAGGCACCACTCATTTCTTCTCTTCGCCATTAAATCCATCTATCTGCTATTCGGTATTCATGCTGAGGACATACATATTCATATCTTTATCTGTATAATACCAACAGCAGAAGCAGAACTACCAGTGGACATCAAACTCCCCCCTGACGAGAACAGAAATCCTGAAGGCAATCAAGATGCTAAAAACTGGAAAAGCAGCAGGACCAGACGGAATCCCCGCAGAAGCATTGAAAATGGACCCAGAGACATCAGCGGACTTGGTGACACCACTACTGGAGAAGGTGTGGAAAGAGGGTAAGGTACCTGCGGATTGGAAGAAAGGCTACTTATTCAAGCTGCCAAAGAAAGGAAACTTAAGTCAATGCAAGAACTGGCGTGGTATTGTGCTTCTCTCAATCCCAAGCGAAATACTAAGTCGCATCATCCTAGAGAGAATACAACACGCCCTGGATGAAAAACGTCGACCGGATTCAGGAGAAGCAAGTTATGCATCGATCAAATCGCAACACTACGGATCATCATTGAACAGAGCTTGGAATGGCAGTCAGCTCTCTATGTCAACTTCATCGACTTTGAAAAGGTCTTTGACAGTGTCGATCGAGAGGTGATTCGTCAACTCATCGCTAATACGGGGCGCCGCCAACAATTATATGTCTCATCCAACAGTTGTACGACAATGTTGCGTGCTAATTAATCTGCAACCGAAACTCACGGAATCATTCAAGGTGAAGACGGGAGTAAAACAAGGCTGTCTATTCTCTCCAATGATTTTCCTGATTGCGGTAGACTGGATAATGCAACAGACAGCGGGCAACGAGGAGATAGGCATAAAATGGACCCACAAAAAACTTGGAGGATCTGGATTTCCCCTATGATATATTTCTGATTTACCACAAACTGGAAGATACGCAAGTGAAAAGCAACAAGTTGGTAGAAGAAGCATCCAGAGAAGATAGGCCTTCAGGTGAACATAGAAAAAACAGAGATGATGAAGATTCCTGTTCAACAGCAACAGCAACAACAACAGACAACAACAATCAGCATAAATGGGAGGAATCTGAAGGAAGCAATCGCATTTACCTAACTAACTGGGAAGCATCGTTTCAACTACAGACGGGCGGAACTGGTGAGGATATTAAAGCGAGGATCGGGAAAGCAAGGCAAGCTTTCGTTTTTCTCGAGTCTGTGTGGCAATCAACAGGCACTCAGCATGACATCACACGTTAGCCTCTCGAGTGGAACCCAAATGGGAAGCGGTTAGTTGGTCGTCAGTGCGAGGATGATATGGAGGAGGTCATGTGAAGAGGAGATGAAAGCATGTGGGCAGATGTGAAGTCAGGTAGCTGAAGCCCTATTTTCCTCTAGGAATTAAAGGAAACAATAATAAATATTGCTTATGAATCTTGTAAGTAGCACATGCAAATTAGTTTTATACCTCAGTGTATTTATTTCCACTTGGCTAGGTATCACCATGTTGTCCAACAAGACAGTAATATAAATACAAAAAGCACAATAACCTGCCTGCCTTCTATTCAAAAGTTATCTTGTAGTATGCATCTAAACATTTATACTATTCAATAGATCCATTTTCATTTCAGATGTTTGGGAGGTACCATTTATGAATGATTTCACTGAGCTTGCAACTTTTGAGGTTTCTTTACAACGACAGATTCAGGTGAATTTAATGTCCAATGAAGAAGAACTTGATTATGGTGATTTCACATCTGAAGGCTTTCAAATGATAAGTAAATCTCTTAAAGTAAGTAGTATTTCAAGTTATTGATTTTCCTGGGGCATTTCTATTAAACATTTTTCGCAGTGGTCCTACATATTTTATAAATACCGAAGTTTTTGGACCACTTCGATTTAACCTTCAGAAAGTCCAAATCTATTAGGTGGTGTGTTTTAACAAACGCGTGCTAACAAGCTCAAAACATGGATCAATCAGAGGTTCTCATACAATGACCCCTTCAGACACCTAAGAAATATGCATAAACATGGTATGGATATTGCTTCCCAACAAAAGGACTTATCACTATGTGAAGAATATTTTGAGAACAATTTTTCGCTCGTATTCAAATCACTGTATTCCATCAAATCTGCAATCCAATTTCTAGAGAAAATCAAAGGGATTCAGATAGATGACCAAGAAATAATGGCATCCTTCGATTTCACAGCATCATATATACATCAATTGGACAGAAACTAGCAAAAGAGACCATGGAGAAATTACTCAATAACGAAGAAAACCTCCCAACAACAATCAAAAATGCAACACACAAGTTGGATTGAATGCATAAACCTATGGCTAACAACGTACTTCCAATTCAACGGCCAAATATATGAACAAATTAAAGGAACACCCATGGGATCGTCCATATCAGGTTTGATTACAGAAGCAGTGATGCGAAGGCTCGAAAACATAATCCTACCAAAGATCAAACCCAAAATTTGGATAAGTTACGTAGATGACACATTTGTAATAATCAAAAGAAACGATTTGGATAAATCTCACAACTTAATAAACAACGTCTTCAATGACATCAAATTCACAAGAGAAGAGGAATCCGAGAATAAAATCCCATTTCTGGATGTCTTAGTCAAGCGAAAAAGCACAGGAGAATTACAAATTCAAGTTTATAGAAAATCAACTCACACGGACCAAATACTCAATTACAACAGCAACAATCTAATAACACACAAAAGGAATGTATACAAACACTATTCAAGAGGGCAAGAACTCATTGCAGCACTCCCACCTTACGGAGAATTGATGAAAGATATCTCATGGACGTCTTCCAAAAGAATGGATATCCACGGAATTTCATCAAAAGACATATAACCCCAAGCCAACCTATCAAATCAAAGGTCCCCAAGGAAAGTACAAAGAAAATTGCCCTACCATATATAAAGGACATCTCAGAAATCACTGCAAGACTCTTCAAACCTTTAGAAATTGATGTCGCAAACAAACCAACAAAATCACTTCACTCAGCTGGCTCTATGTCAACCAAAAGACCAAACACGAAAGAAGACAAAAACAACATCATCTACAAAATAAATTGTAACAACTGCGAAAAACACTACATTGGCCAAAGTGGACGACGTCCTCTTCGTCTTCGTATCCATGAACACAAACTAGCCGTCAAAAGACATGACATCCACTCCCTCATTTCGCTGCATACAGACAACCACAGACATCAGTTCGACTGGGACAACCAACGTTCAAATATTAGACAAAGGAAACATCAAGAATGCTAGAGAATTCATAGAAGTCTGCCTGGTATTCCAGTGAATCATCAATCAATAGACACATCGAGATAGACAAAATTTACCACTCGATAAGAAGGAAATCTCACACACAAAGGGTCAAAGTTCAAGTCAAGGAAACAATCAACACCAATACCAATACAAGTAGCCCAGAGGGTGTGAAATCATACAAAAACAACCAATCACATTCAAAGTCACCGGGACTCGTGGAGAAATCTGAAAGCTCACTTCAATTTGAAGTATGCGCTGAAGATGTTGCCTAGTAGGGCAATGAAATCTTCGCGAATAAACCATCCAGCTCAGAAAACACAACTACATAAAAATCACATCACTGTATTCATACGACATCCTAATTCACTTTATATAACCTCACTCCCTGTGGGTTTGGACTTTAGTAGATGTTACACCACTTCGATTGTTCTTCGAATCAACACCAATCCAGAATATATGTAAAATTACATTGATAAATGAGAGGGAGTAGAGCTATATGAAGGCAGTGAAGATGGACATGCGAATACACAGATGTGATTATTAGCAAAACATTGTTCTCGAACTATCATCCAGTTATAAAGACTGTATCAGTGTGTGTTATACCAAATAAACACATCTAACACGTGAATGTGGAGTTCAGAGGCAACGTTCTGGCTGACATCTTAAAGAGAAGAATATCTAACGCCCTGAAAGCAACATTCTATGCTGCTACATTACGATTGGTATTCTCAAGCCACCCTAGTTCTTCAACAACTCCAAAGATAAACTATTGCATTTGACCACTTCCATGTGTACCTACCAATTAACTTGTTCATGTGCAGCGAGATATATAGGTTTTTCGGTGCGTGTTTTATCCAAAAGAGTCAAAGAATATTATCCTGCTTGGCTACGAAAAGGTAACAGTGGATCAATAAGGAGTGCTATAATTCAACATATATTCAACACTGGTTACTCAATATGTAAGGTGAATTCATTCACAATCATCTACAAAGTGAAAAGAAGCCTCCCGAAAACAGTAAGCTTCCGTATAATTTGCATTGCAGAGGTCTTAGAGATCCGGATAGAAAACCTTGATTTATGCACACAGAAGAAACTTCTCCACCGCCTCCTTCTACCTTGGGTATAATTCCAAGTTCTACGACTTTGTTATTAATGTTTTGTTTTCTTTTTTGTTTTTTGAATTTTTGTGTGGCATCTCAGTAACATCTTCCTCTTAACCAAACCTTTATTTACTCTTTCTACCTACTACGTAATTTATTTTCTGGACACGTGCCTCCATTAACATTCTATTTCATATTACGCAACCCTTGTCAATACTTACCAATCTTCAGCCCCCCTAGTTACAATTTTGATTATTCATCACAATTTAGAGACATTTTGATGACCTAAACAATAACCCCAACTAATTTTTATTTTATTTTTCTTCGACAATCCTAATGTACACACACACACGAAATAATTATATATAAATGGGATTGTACAGCTAAGTGAATGAATTCACCGAAAAAAGACTCTTCACTGAACTTTGTTGTTCTGAATTGTAATCCACCAAAATGCCTGAACTCTACTCTACTCTCATATTAAGAACATTATATACCTTTATTTTATTTAAACGCAGAAAAATACTTGGTACAATATGGCACCAAGAAAGATGCGCCACACAATAATAATAAAACAACATAGATTAAAAGTAAAAATATAAGTAGAAAACGGATAAATAACTTCATCTGGAAGGAAAACAGTCATACTTAACAAGTTCAAACAGTATTCGTTAACTATCATCAGGAAGGGAAGAAAGAAGGAAATTGCAACACGTTCACCATTGATTACGATTCTTGGCCATATCCGATAACGTTTCGAGCCATCGATTCGAGCTATCTCGCGGACCCCAACCAGGGAGTCGTGACAAACCAACCGATGCTAATGTAGTACAAAAATCCTTCATCCCACGACGCCACGTCATAGTCTGACCACCCCTCCGCCTTTTCCATCCCGTCCCAGGGCTGGCTATCGAACAGAGACCTGTACGGAAGCCTCTGGGATGACATTCGCAGCACATGTCCAAGCCACCGGAGCCGTTTCCAGATGACGACACTTAATGAATGGTGATCTCCACTGTATTCAAACACCCGCCGTCGAACCTCAGAATTACTCACGCGATGATGCCATCGAACGCAAGCAATCCTGAGGAGACAGCGATGATCGAACACGCAGAGTCGCCTTACATCCTCAGCTTAGAGATACCAGGTTTCACAGGCGTAGACCAAGACAGCCCGCACCGGAGCATTGTATACTCGACCTTTGACAGCCAGGCTAACGTCGCGACGGCGCCAGAGGTGGCTCAAGTTGATGTATGTCACCCTAGCTTTCATTATACGGTTGGAAATCTCATCCGTCACTCCTCCGCCAGCACTCACACAACTACCCAGATACACAAACTTATCAACAACTTCAAGCGGTTCACCCGCAAGAGTGAGTGCAGGTACAGGCTCCTGTCAATCTTGTAACAGTACTTTGCACTTAGACGGTGCAAAGCACATACCATACTTACAGACATTATATACCTTAGGGCACAATGACTTAATTTTTGGTGGAATTCACTTTTAATTTTGTATGTACCATGAACCAGTGCCATCACAAGTTGGGTTTTTGACACCTATGAATACATGGATTATGAAACTTAGAAAATTTTGGACAAGCCTCTATACATTCACTAATTAACAACATGTACACATGGGTAGCAAATTCGACAGAAGTTATGTGGACATAATACAGTACAGTTCTTGTAGTTATTTCTTTATTACTTCCTACTCATGTTGATATGAAATATATATATATATATATACATATCTGACAGGCTTCACTCTAACTTTATTTTCCTCAGAATACAAGGTTCACTTTCATTGCAATTCTACCAAAGATCAAGTGGAACATTCAAAGTATATCTGGATTTCTTAATGGAAGTATGTCGTTAGAACAATATATTAAAAAACTAGAAAATAATATGGTTTCACTGAAATTGCCTCGCTTCTCTTTGGAGTCAACATCAAATTTAATTGAAGTACTTAAAAGTATTGGTGTAACAGATCTTTTTTCACCTGATAAAGCTGATTTATCTGGTGAGTTATTTATTATAAAATAGTTTAACCAAATTATACTATATATTTTGCAATACGTTCGTAATTCCATATATATAGGATTGTTATATATTTGAAGCAGAGGTGATTTGTCATGTTTGAAACTATAAGTTGCTCTAGAGACATAAATGACCCCGAGTAGTGACATTTTTTGTAGGTTTTCCAAATGAGGCACGTTGAACACTTGATGTGTCACCAGAATCATTCCCTGCAGGTTTCTGCAGACTTTTGTCAACAAATAGGTGTGCTCTATGACGCAGATCAATTTTCTGGCTAGTAAGAATTAGTGACATGGAACTCTGGAAGGTGGAGAACTGACTGAGAACCAGTCGCTTGAAAAATATTCTGAAGAAAATGGAGATAGGTCAGAAACACACTGGTGAAACCACTGAGTAACATCACGTACCGGGCAGGCTCTGGAATGGGAACCTAGTGGGAAACAACTAGTTTGACTTGGGTCCGTGGGTTACAAAGAGGAGATCACGTGAGGAGGAGATGAGAACTTACCGGAAATCATGAGGTCAGTTAAAATAGACCTCTGAAAACAGCATGAAATGGTGCTGTGTTGTTGAAGTCGAATGTTCCACTCGGAACCCATGGGAATATCAATAATAATAATAAATAAGCCATGAGATCCAGGCACTAGTGACGCTTTGATTTCACTTTAGTAATCACCATTCCCACCTATCGCATACATAAGTTAGGCAATTCTTATCTGTAGACAGTACACCTTCACATTAGTTGATGATGAGTTATCTGATTTAGATTTCAGTCATGGTGGAAGAAAAAAATGGTCAGATTTTGTTGGCTAAGATCTTGTTAGCCTCCAGATGTTCACTTTAACCTAGATCAATTTCACAGTCTACCAAATCGCAGTCATCTCATAGCAAATCCCAAAAGTATTATCTGAGAATGTAATTTGGGCTCATCTTATAATTTTAATGAGCAAAACTACTTAGAGCTAGGCAAATTAATTGAGTATCAACTGATGTCTAAGCGTTCCCAATGGATTCAGTCGAAAATGTCCATATTATGACAGGTGTTCAAACACTAAAACCTTGTCACTTAAGAAGTAATACTGATTTTGATAGAGCCACCTTGGCCAAACAAAGTGAAGAGATGGCTCTTAAACCGTCAAGGGACCATGCACCAGGTAGTCCCTCGACTAGAAACCGAGTGGGAAACCAGTTTTGATGTTTTTAGTTAACATGTAGGAGATTGTATAGGTGAGTGGTGAAAGCTCATAGGAAAGCGAGAAGTCGGCTAGAGTGGAGTGCTGAGAACAGAAAGAAATGGAGCGGTTCTGTTGAAGACCCACATTCTACTCGATACCCAAAGAAACAATACTGTAGTCCTTATACACCTTGGGTTTAAGATGAGTTTATCAATTATTTGGCACGACGTTTTTTCCTTCTGTTTTATAGGAATAACAGGTGAACGAAATATTTATGTGACAAATTTTCAACAGAAAAATATTATTCGTGTAGATGAAATTGGCATTGCCGCTGGTTCAGTCGCCAACATGGTGATGATACCATTGTCTGCAGCCAGAAATCCAATAGAATTTCATGCAACACATCCATTTATATGCTTTGTGTACGATAGACAGTTAAAAATCTCATTATTCACTGCTTATGTGGCTGAGCCATCGGAGTAGACTTCTTATTGCTTCTATTCTGTTGATTAATTGCTTTCAAATTTAGCTGTATTAATCAACACTGGACTGGTTGTTGTATTGCTATTCCATCAATAAACCAAGCAACCAGTTCGGGCGGTTACGCTAAGCGTTTCTTTGTTAATCATTGACTTTAATAAACGATTCTCATAATTCACTAATAAATGCATTTTGATACTGATTTAACCATTCGTCTTTTGTCTTTGACGCTGAGCTGGAAAAAGATATAAATGTATTGCATTATATACCGCTGATTGACTGATTTGAGTAAGTGGATACCGCTTACATCACCCAGTAGTGCTTGCTAGCTGGCCAGATTAAAGTTATCTAGACACCAGATGGTTTTATTCGGCTCATTTATACTACTAGTTTGTCCAAGTAGCTACCTGGAATTTGCATGTTTTGAACAGATTTGATGCTTCGAACTGAGTCAAACCAAGTATAGTGCTGGTGACATCGACTCCGAGTGAGCTAAACTGCAATTTGATACTAAGATCAATTCAATTTGACTAGCAGACACTACTGATTGATATGAGGGCTATAAAATTACTAATATCGGCCAATCAGTAGTATACCTAAATAAAGCAAGAACAACAGAGGTTTGTGCAGAATAATATGGTACCATCATTTATTTCGTTAGCTTCTCATCAACTGCTTACAGCCTAAATAAATTGTGAGGTTTGCGTACAGAAAAGTTTTAACATACTTGCAAATTTTACATGTTGTCAGTTGACAGAAAGTTCCACAATTATTGAAAAGTGTTCAGAAAATTGTGCTTATATAGATTTACGCAGGCAGTTCAAGTCATAATAGGTCCCATGTTAACTCCAACTGTATATACAAATTTACATGTATCTGTGGGAACTGTTACATTAGAAGGACAGAAAGAAGGGTATATCTACGATTTTCTGAACATGCACCGAAAAGCTTACGTATAAAGGGAACAAATTCTTTAAACAGTGCCATCGCTAGATATCTCCTCGACACGGGTCATGAGGTGGAAATCGAGAAATCCTTTAAAATTATCAATAGACAAAGGGGCTCCATTCTCCTCAAGTTTGCCGAAGGAATCTCTATCAAACGCTTCAAACCAGATTTATGTGTTCAAAAAGAAGCAGTTATTAGTCTTTCCTTGCCATGTTAACTGGATGTCTTTGTTCTCTACTCTGATTACGTAATCTTTGTCTTTAACCTCACCTCTGTTTTTTATAATCTGTAATATTGCTTGTCTCTTGTTTCTATGACGTGATTTGAACTCAGTACATCGTTACAAAATTTATTAGTTACTCAGCATCTTACTCACCTCTCGTCTTTATTACGTAATTCCTTTACCAATGTATGCATACATTTATTTTGACCTGAAGTGCCTGCGTAAAAACTATATAAGCACAATTTTCTGAGCACTTTTCACTAATTGTGGAACTTTCTGTCAACTGACAACATGTAAAATTTGCAAGTATGTTAAAACTTTTCTGTACGTAAACCACACAATTTATTTAGGCTGTAAGCAGTTGATGAGAAGCTAACGAAATAAATGATGGTACCATATTATTCTGCACAAACCACTGTTGTTCTTGCTTTATTTCAATTCATCAAGGGGAATAAATGCATACAGTAATATATCGTATGATGGATTTATGCTTGCCTTCTTGATTACTATTTTAAGTTTCAGTCATATGTTTTTATCTGTGGTGAAATTTAACCTGAGTTTGCATAAATAGAGGATCACGAATGAGTTTGAAAATCACAAATTTGATTTAGGAAAGCATAATTTGTACCTCTAAATGAAAGTAAATAATTACTGTTGTAAACCAGTTGTCATGGTAAATGATTACTCGCGAACTTGATGTCTTGAAACTCAACTTTATTCACTGTTCACTTACTCATTCAAACCCGAAACTAAATTTTCTATCGATTCATTTAAACTATAGTAGGATTGTGATAAATACTTTCAGCAAATTCTTCATCATGGGTCTGAAGTTGTGCATACTATACAACAGTGAGTTAAAGTCGACGGAAGATCACTTCATTGTAATTCTTGCCTCTAGACCTCATTGGGACATTGCTAACAGTGTATATCAGAATACCGAGTTAATTCTGAGTTAGAATAACTTATTTACTGTGGCATTATTATTATTCCCTTAGGTTCCAAGTAGAATTTAGGGTGTAAACAGCACATCTGCATTTTGTCTTCCTCCATGTGGTCTTCTTTAGCTAACTCCAAGCTCGCTTGAAAGGTCTTATCTCCTCCTCACACAATCTCCTCCATGTCACCCTCCAAGCCATGCTCAAATCGTCGATTCTTATTCGGGTTCCATTCGAGAGCCTGCCTAGCTGGTGATGTCACTCAGTGGTCTCCTCAGTGTGTGTCCAACCCATCTCCATTACCTTCGGTGTATTTAATAGGCAAAAGGTTCTTAGCTGGTTTGCTCCCAGAGTTTCTTATTGTTTCTTCTCTCCGGCTGGTCATGTGATCTTCACTAAAAGGCAAACGTGCAGCTGTTGATAAAAGTCTGCAGTAGCCTGTTGGAAATGTTTTCAGTGACACTCCATACGGAAGCAGTGATGTGGCATTAGTGTTGAAAAGTCCTAATCTTGTTCTTTATGCTGCATACAGCAGATTTCCACACTGACTTCGGAATAATGAAGGTCTGTTATGCTTTTCTGAAGCTGCCTTTGATATTCTCATACGTGCCTCCTGTAGTTGAAACGATTTTATATAGATAAATGGAAGTGATGGCCTCCTTCAAATCTCTTTTTCGATGGGATTGGTACTTGATGTTGTTGTTGATTAGTTATCTTAAGCAACCTCTGTCTTCTCTATATTCACTTGAGGTTCTGTTTTCTCTGCAGTCCCCTTCTAGCAGCTTTTTGACTTTTGCCTGCAAATCTTCGAGTTTGTGTGAAGTTAGACATAAATCGTTCGCTAGGTCTAGTTCTTGTGGAGTCTTTTTATTTCTCCAACGAATGACTGTCTGACGTTGTCTTACCCTGGTATTCAGTGATATGATGCATTGTGATGGATGATGTTTCTTGAACAATTTATTGCTTGAAATTAAATCAAGTAACTTTAGGTCGTATTGTAACAACAGAAGGTAAGACACTGAAGTCAAGGTATCTTTTTCATTAATCGAACCTCCATTCAGGTATTGGTTTGTAGCGTACTGATGAAGAGTCTCAAACTAGGACGAAACAGCTGTTCAGTACTCCCAGGTTTTCCAATGGTTGTCTAACCAATGCCACCTCATGATAAATTCCTGTAACTAATCAAACCTCTGTTTATATATCTACAGTTTATATTCGTTAACCAATCATTGAGCAGGTGATTTCCGTTTACATCAAAGGACATGAAATAGAATGTTCAAATACATGCACAGTATTCTGTTGCCAATGCAGTACTGAACTGTGGGAAAGTATTCTGTCTTTAACATCGAATAGAATGCTAAAATAGATATATCGTATTCTGTTGTTTTTACCGAATTCAACTGTGGGAATATGTGAGAATAACATTCCGGTGGCACGCATTGTCTGTATCACACCATCACAGTATTATGTTACTGATATTCATGAATTTTATTCAAAAATAGAGAACAGATATTGGCGCTTATAGACATATCAACAAAAGAACTTAGTTCACTGAGTAGAACAACCGAGGATACACAAACTTGTATTCAAAACATCCAATCTACTGTCCTTGCAAAGTTTCTTTCCATGAAATAAGCAGTACCATGATTCAGAAACATTAGCAAACAACTGGAAGTTACTTATTTAGTTGGGACTAGGAGTAAAATCTAGGGCACACACTTCGTCCTATTTATGACTCATCACCTGATGCGCCAGCTAGTGATAGGGTTCTCTTTGGGACACAAACTCAGTCAGTCTCATTTGGTTCAAACAACAAGGTATTATACAATGGGGCACTAGAAGTACTAATTTCTCAAACAGCATTCACTTGGCAACAACAACAACAACAACAATTTCAGTTTCTCCGACTTCCAACAGTTAAGCTTTGACTGGTTTAAATTTATTTAAAAATAACAAAATAGAATGACATCAACCATTTAGTTACAAAAAAGACAACAATGAACACCAGAAAAAATAAATTTAGAAATGTTTGTTTTTATATGAGGACAACTCTTCGTCACAAGAAACATGAATGAATAAAAATTCAGGGAAAAAATTATTTGAAATATTACTTTTTACAAGTAGTACATAGATTATACTGTGATAAATTAAAACAAAGTGATGACGTTTAACAAGTTATCGAGGAAAATTTTGATTGATTGTTTAATTAGTGGGAACTGTTTCATGAAATCTGATTAGAGAATCCGTAATGGCTACCTTCGAGTTCTCCGTTGTTACTGATATCACTTAATTCTCTATACTCACCTAAATTGAAACAAAGTGACAGAGAATAAAATGGCTTAATTAATTCGAAATTATTATTATTATCAATTAGACAAATGATATAATAAAGAAAATAATAAATAAGGTCAGTTAGAAGTCATTTATTATTATAATTATTCCTTGGATTTCGAGTGGAACATATGAATACAACAGCACATCTCCATTTCACACAGTCCTCTTCAATCTTCTTAAGCTGACTGAACGATTGCCCATAAGATCTCCTCTCCTAGTCACAGTTCGAACCCCAGTGGGTGCGTACTGCCGATGATTCCCAAAACTAGAATGAAACAGCTGTCCAGTACTCCCTGGTTTTCAATGGTTCTTTAACTGATATCAATCCGTTGTCATACTCGTAAAAACAAATCTAATCCTTACAAACCACCTGTTGAAAATTAAATATAACTGCCCAAAGAGCTTCATTACGACAATCAACACCGATATCAAATATGGTCGAAAACTTATTCCGAAGGTATAGATCTCGACAGTTATCCTTCCATATAGACAATAAGCGTCAGACAATATCAGAAGAGCATTCGATAAGCACAAAATCAGAATTTTCTTCAAAATATCTGACACACTACAAAGCAAAGCTGTCCATTTAAAAGACCAAATTCCAAAGGATTCTTAATTTAATCTTCTCCGCAGATTGTAACGGTTGGAATGTGATGCATGATATACATTGGAAAAGCATCCCGAGAAATAAAGATCAGAAGAAATGAGCACCTCATAGCTACTACTTGACCACTGAGAAGTCCAGTTGAACTAGAAAAGCTTGAAAAAATCACCAGTCATTGGTGGTCTACACATCATAGAATCATGTCATAAAATTGATTTTGACAATATTGAAATCATCCAGAAAAATTTCAGAAATCACAAACAACGTCTAATATCAGAAGCACTTCACATGAAATGGAACCTAGATTGTTTGAATGAGAATGATGAACTAAAACAGAATTTGACCTAGGTACCGCAGATACCTCCCCCATGAAATGACAAAATCAACACTAATATGATAAGCAATTACATTATGTAAATGCATGCTGCTTTTATGAGTTTGTCCGCTTATCATTACCAATTGGCCAACCTGACAACGCAAAACTGACCCCATGCTGAGGAACGATGATTAAGTTGTTATACATAAGCTGAGATTTTGTAAATTCTGGTTTAATATTACTACTCAGATAAAGCTATTAGAAGCATTAAATAGCGAAACGTCAATAAAAACAATATCGTTTTGCTTTTCATTCATTGGGAAATACAAAAAAATGTTATAGTGTAACAACAGAAGACAAGGGCCAGGCAACAGATCGTTTATTAAGGAAAATCAACACATATTTATAGATTTTGATGTACATTATTGTAGACTAATGTTAGTAGAAAATACAGTCTGTTGATTGGTTGTTTGTCACAGAAAGTTAACCTTGCATCTCTTTGTGGCTGTGTCAGATCATCCATATGCTAACTGTGTCCGCCTACGCAAAGCCTTATTTCTCATTTTCTCACCACCAATATTGGGGACATAAACACTGACGTCAATTACTGTCAACCAACTTTGGCTAGGAGCCAGCTCTCACCACAATAGTAATGAAGTAGGACATAGGTTTTGAAAGGAATTAATACTCCTTATTTCAGTATTACTAAGAACTCAATGAAGTATCTAAACATTTTATGCTCAATTATATGATAATGAGCTCAAATAAAGTATGATTACATTTCAATGGTTAATGATAATGAGTTATTTTCATTCAATGTTCTTAAAGAAAACTTATAAGTGTTAAGATAGATAGAACATAATTCATTTAAATTTAGTAATATTTCAACGAAATATGTGCGTATGCATACGTTCTCCACATGCTAACTGTCTACATTTAAGTATCAAAGTAAGCCTATTTCTGTGTCTCGTATTCGTATCTGGAGTTTAGAACCATCGACAGACATAAATGAGTTTTGCTGAAAGTTGGAATATCACCATTACTCAGTGTAAAAGATTTATGCACTGATTTAATATTGATCACGAAATAAATTGACTTATAGAATTATTGAAAACTAGCGCGTACTGGACATATGTTTTCTCCTTGTCTGGAATTGTTCAGAAAGAAGCACCTGTAGCCTTACTATGGTTTGGACCCAGGATTTCCAGGTTACATGTCGAGCTCATTGACCACTTAGTTTTTTTTATTTCTTTACGTTCTCATTGGAACATAAGGCTTCAAGCTGGAGGCATGAAGTTTCGGTAACAGTGGCATTTATTTTTACAGGATAGGGTTGCTAGCCTCATGCTCAATCTTACCTGTTTAAGAGTCGACCAGGGATCGAAACCTAGAAAACATGGGGCTTGGTTGGTGAGCATTCTACCGCTGTACCACCGACGCACTGGTTAGTAGCCTTATCAAAGTATTATTCAGCCAGAATTTACAAAATATCAGTTGATATATAACAAATCAATCATCGTTCATCAGCATGAGGTAATTCTTAAGTTGTCAAGTTGGCCGATTGGTAAAAATGACAAAACCATATGTAGATTGTTGCATTTGATAAGCGATTAAAATCATAAAAACAGCCTTGTGTTTTACATAATGAAATTGCTTATCACATTCATATTGATTTTGTCTCTTTATTTCACCTTCATAACGATGAATATCATATACACAATGCCCAAATATTTTCAAACTGTGAAAAGTGAACTTCCTTTGGACATATATAACTTAAACTGAATCCCTCTGAATGTCAGGCTGTTAAGTTTAGATTCAGACCTGCAGGGATTCATTCACTCCCATGATTTTTGTAATTTTGACGGCACTGTGATAAGAAATAAACAAAATACTCCCTGTCTTGGTATCAGTTTCTCTTCAAATTTTAACTGTTCGTCTCATATCCTGTTGATTTCTAGGAAAATCTTTCATCTGCCTTATTATATGGGATAACTCAACCCCTTCTTTTACAATATACTTATTCATGTATCCCTCCTATTCTTCTTTTATTGTTCCCCCTTTATACTTCCTTGAGCTTCTCAAAAAGATTTTCATATAACGCAGAACATTTGTGGCTGTAAGTAGGTGTTGTGGTATGACTTTGACCAAACTGATTGGCATTATTGTCGATAAGCATTTTAATTCTTGCAAGCAACTTGCTAAAGAAATTTTGTCGCACATTGAACGTTCTGTTTCTCCGTATATCTCATTTAGTTACTGGGATGAAATCCACTGACCCCGTGAATTCCAACTTCTTCCAATTCGCGACAGTTATATAGATGACATCATTCTCTGAAATAGCTATACTTGATCAAATGTATAAACACACTTTCTATTATGAAACTGATAATTTAGAAAGTAAGTAAATGTTAGTATCAGAACTGGTTAAAAAAATTTCAAAATATCAATTATCAACAAAACTTACTTTACATATAGACTCGTAATTAGGACATTGAATACGTCCCATTAATTTAAGTTTTTCACGCTTTGCTGTAAAATTAATCAGGCCACCTTTAATTGGACATGCCATACTTTGATTGCCAATAATGATTTCAAGTTTTTCAGAGCAAGAATACTAAAACAGATAATAAGAATAAGTGTTACAATGTGTATTGCATAACTTTCTCAAAGGAAACACAACAAATAATACTACAGTATCGAGATGATATTTTGATGAGAAGCATAACATGAAATTTGAAGAGACTCTGTAAAATAACTTTGATGGTTTCATCATTAGCCAACATCATTTGGGCGGCACTTGAGTAGCCGTTTCGTCCTAGTTTGAGGCCCTCCAGTAGACTGCACTCATAGTCAGCCCACTAAGGGGCTATCGAGGTCAGCCCGTTTACTATTCTGCACCTGGGTGGCGATGCATTGATCACTAAATTCTGTCAGCACTACCACAATCTCCTGGTAGGGTTGTGGGTACAAAGTTTTGGAGAATGCCAAACTAGGACAAAATACTATGCAGTGCTCATGGTATTTCAATAATCCCTTGAATGATGTTAGTTAGATGCGTCGTTGGCACAGCGGTAGAATGCTCACCAAACCACGCAAGTAGTCCGGGTTTCGATCCGCGGCCACCGACGCACTCCTATACCTCGCAAAGCCCATGGTAGGACTGGCAAAGAGGGAAGGTTGGGAGTGAGCTTAGCAACCCCACCCTGTAAAAATAAACACCACTGCTACCAAAACTTCAAGTCTCTAGCTTGATGCCCTATGTCCCACTGGGAACGTAAAGGAATACATCATTTTATTGATGTTAGTTGGTGATGAAATTTCCACAAAACCTAACATCTGAATATCTCCAGAAGTATGTCACATAGTTCAATTGAAGCTATTCACATAGTGTTTGCAGCTTCACGCCGAATGCTTAGCGCATATCTTAAGTGACGACTGAAATGAATTGAGAAGGTGTTTGATAACACAAAGTGCGACTTACTTTTGTGTTACATGTCAAGAAGCCGCTGCATAAAACGCATCATTCTTAATGTTTGAAGATACCGCGCATAAATGGGTTTCATATTAGGTTGAATGATGAAACCATTAGTAAATGAGTGCAGTGTAGGCAGAAAGCGATATATGTGAAAGATGAATATAACAGTAGGATACGTTAGTAAATTATGCTGAATATTATTTCATGCTATTAAAAGAATGTCAGAGGTTCAGCAGTACAATGCTGGCTAATTATGCAAACGGCTCAGGGTTTGGACTCCATTCGACACACTCCTTTACTCTACTAAAGAGGGAAGGTTAAGCGTAAGGCTAGCAACTCCACCCCCTAAAAAATTGAATAACTCCACTGCTTTTAACAATTCAAAGCTCAAAGCTTAAAGCCCTATGTTCCACTAGAAATTCACAGGAAAAAAATTATCTAATTATTATTAAGAGGATGTAACAGAGATCAAAGCGATTCTCATCAAGTTCAGTAGTGATGGGCCTGTATCAAGAAATAAGCAAAATGTTTGGTACAATCTGATTTGCACTGTAGTTTGTGATACTTATTGATAGATATCAGTAGTGTATTCAGCAACGTCTTCCGATAAACAGTATTAATTTACATTTAAAAAGAAATGACAATGAAAAGGAAACTCGAGAAGGTGATTAGGCTGAGTATAGTCTAATGAGCAATAGACTACGAATAACAAAACAAATCCAACATAGACAAGTTGTGAAATTGAATGTCAGGCATATGTTTTTTGCTTAATACCGATTGTGCTTTGCCCCAGTGAACATTGGTTATGGCCCCATGAATTTTGTTCTCTTCAAATTAACTTTATCTGACAAGCATTAGTTGACACAAACAAAAATTATTCTTGGAAATATCATTTGCGGTATATATATTTCTTTTTCACGAATTGGTAGAAGCTAGAATTCATGGGGTACTGAAACTATTCCCAGTGCCTGAATGGTACACGAGCTTGCCTTGTAAGCGGAAGATCCTGGATTCTTACCCCTTGGGATGATTGCGTACTGCCGATGATTCCCGAACTAGAATGAAATAGCTGTCCAATACTGCCTGGTTTTCAATGGTTCTCTAACTGATATCGGTCCGTGATCAGACTCGTAAAAACATATATATGTTTATATATATATATATTTATATATATACATATCTTATAGATTATAAGATGCCTTGTTAAAACTTTTCCGTGTTGTTTATTCAAGTTAGAAGACTGATTAGTAAACAAAGAATATTCTTCTCGATAACTCCACTATCATATTGTGCAGTCATATATATTCATAACAGCTCAAGAATTATTTCGAGTTAAATCCCGTATTGTTATTATTAAGATGGTCATTGAAAACCAAGTAGTACTGGACAGCTGTCTTGCACTTATCTGTAACTTTTCAGCAGAACACACCCACAACCACTCCAAGAGTCGAATCTAAGGCCTTCAGGTTACGCGGCGAGCTTATTTACCATTCGGCCACTAGGAAGCGATCCGGTTATCTTGCATTAATTCACGATTTTTGGGAGTAATCTGAAAGTTCTGGATTCGACCCCCGATTGGGGTTATGGGTACGTTATACTGAAGAGTCACAAACAGGAACGAAACAGCTTTCTGGTACTATCTGGTCTTCAGTGGACGTCTTACTCATATCAATCCATGGTCAAACGTGAAGCCAATTAGACGCCTACAAACTGGCTCTTGAAAATCAAGAATTAGTGTTATTCACGACATTAATGTTTTTAAATAAATAAAGAATCTGAGAGTGATAGTATATGTCAATAAAATATTAACTGCTCGCAAACGCCTACCAGTATGTCTAAATAAAGGTGTAATAAAAAGCATCGAACCATTTGTTCACGCAAGGGTGCAAAGCCAGCACTGAAGAATATTTTCCTGTCATCTATCGGGAACCGAATTTATCCTGAAAGGCCACTGGGTACTAAATACTCTAAACAGAAGAGGCTATTGCATTTTGTGCTTAAAACAACCACAGCCATAAGCTCAAGTGTAACAAGTTTGGTGTACTGTGGAATCTATCATTTCATAAATACTACATTATTTCTCTCAGTTTATCTGACATTCATAGAGAGACGACCAATAGTTCAGCTAAGAGTCTCTTTTCGGTGAATTCATTTTCACAGCTGTACAATCGCAAATATATATATATATATATACATTCATCTTAGTGGCATATTGGTTCATATTATCAGATGCTTTGATCTGTAGTCTACTGATAATACTGGTTCAATGTTATTTAAAACACTCATGTTGCTAATAGCAATACTTCTTTAGCTATTATGGGTATGTAACTGTAGAACCCGACGAAGAAGAAGTTATCACAAAGAATAGTCTTTATGCGTTCATCAGCCTTCTGAAATTTTTGAAGGGGATCTTTAATCAGTTCACGTTAATTCTATCATTGCGAATATTTGTTTTAGCATATTAAAAGTTAATTAACTGATTTACTAAAACCTACTTTATGACAAGTGCCTAATATCCTCTTATCTTTCATATTCTTCTTTCCTCTGATCAAATGCCATGGTGAATCATGAATTATACAGATTGAATTATCACCAAAACTTTGCATGTACAGATTTTCACCAGATGCTGCTTGCAAAAAGAAACAAAACGAAATTCATCTTTAAAAAAATTTGTAAATGTTGTTAAAGTTTCAAGTTTGATCACGGATTGATATCAGTTAACAAATGATGTTGATGCGGCTTTCGAAGTCATCTACCGCGTATACCAACTAATCTTAACTTCACCTTAAGAGTTCGTCTACTGCATATTGCTGAGGCTGGCTGTTGGGATCCACATTATGCAACCTAACTTATGTATGTATCCAAAAGGAGCTGGTTCAGACACTGTCCTTACCCCACCGGCCATCAAGGTTTTAGTGGTCCTCAATTTGTTGTGGAAATTTCCTTAATTTTATTTGATATTCTATTTTTATCATATTTTTATGCTTGTAATGATTTATGCATCTTTGGTGAACTGTAATTCCATTTATCTTAACAGATCTGTAGTATTTAAGAAAACCAATATTGTTATTGACGACTATTCTAGAATATTCTGTGTATATAAATATAGACATAATTGTCAAGCCAGAAGAGGAATTTATCAAAAAGGATATTCTTTGTTCAATTTTTTCGATTTTTTCTAAGTTACAGATTCATTGAAAACCAGCTAGGAGTATTCTGTAGCTGTTTCGTCCACGTCAGGGACTAATAGGCAGTACTCATCCACTGAGTTTCGAACCCAGGACCTTCCGGTTACCAGATTAGCTCGTAAACTATTCTACCACTGGAACCCAACTCAGTAACACATGAATTCTAACTTCTATCAGTATATGTTAAGATGATTGTATATTATGAGTGGATCCACATTGTCGTTATACTGTGGTGGCGTGATACAGACAATGTGTGCTAACGGAATATTATTCTGACATATTCCCACAGTTCAATTTGGCATTAGCAACAGAATACTAAGTATGTGTTTGAACATTCTACATCATGTCATTTGATGTAAACCGAAATCAAATGCTCTGTGATTAGTTAAAGAATATAAACTGCACATATATAAACAGAGGTTTGATCAATGAAAAATATACTTTGGCTTCCGTGTCTTGCATTCCGTTATTACATTTGTGCCTCAGAATCTTCATCCAGTGTTAGCGACGAGCAGTAGGTTTGTCAATGTCAGCGCTAATACAAGAGGATCACCATCAACGCCCAACTTCGTGGTACGAAACTGCTGTATAGTCCATTCTCTGTCCATCGGGCTGTCAAACTCCTCCATCAACCGTCCTACTACTTTCTTTCAAGTTGCTCGCCCTTCTATTCGCTTCACACTGTCATTTACTGCCTTCACCTGACCTCTCAGCAGCGTTCTAAATAAAAGCGACTTGGCTGACGGCTCTTGAACGCCATTCAACTCCGCAACAGCCTCGAAGTCCTTCAAGAAGATCCATATGTCTCCTACTTCATTTCTCCTTCATTTCTCGACAGGCAGCGACACGAAAATGTAACAACAGAAGGTAAGACACGGAAGCCAAAGTATATTTTTCTTTGATCAAACCGCAGTTTATACATCAACAGTTTATACTCGCTAACCAATCACTGAGTGTGTGGTTTTTATTTATATCAAGCAACATGAAACATAATGTTCAAATATACATAGTATTCTGTTTCCAGTGCAGAAATGAACTGTGGGAAACATATTCTGTCTGTAACATCAAATATAGTGTTCAAATAAATATATCGTATTCTGTTGTTAATGCCGAATTCAACTGTGAGAATAATATTCCATCGGCACACATTGTCTGTATCACACCACCACAATACTACTGAATGTTTTCCGCAACTTTTCAGCTTCATATATGTTTTGATATAATAGAATATGTAGTAGTTATATTGATAATAATAGTATTACAGAATTCAATGCTTTTTCCATCATGCATAGAAATCAGTTGAAATATTAGCCAGTACTTAAAGTATCAGACTTTTGTTTTAACATGTTTCGAAAGTTCTGAGTGATAAGCACTTAATACTTACTGTAGGATCTATTGTAGCAGTGTTTATTCAAGCCAGTTTCCATCACGTCTCCATTCCTGAAAACTATGGAGAAACTTTCCTTGAATATCCTCAAACCTTCTCTGAAATCTTTTAATGTCCCAAAGTAGTTTGCTTACATATGTAGTAGAAGCGCATTAGATGCTGTCGTTGTACTCCACAACAGTATTGTTTCAAGTCTTGATAAGGGTGCAGATTTTGTTCTAGCCTCCTTTTTAGACTACACTGCTGCTTTTGACTCTATTCCCAGAGCACTTTTACTAAGCAACCTGATTTCAACAAACATTGAGTTCTGGGTCACAAGATGGCTGTCTTCGTATATTTTAGGTAGAAAACAACGTACTGTTTTGAATGGAAATCGCTCCACTTCGTTACTGACGGAAACGAGGCGCTGTACTCTACCTATTCCTTTTTCTTTCTTTTCGCATGACCTTCCATATTCTTTCAAAGCTAACTCCCTTAAATATGCCGATGATGTTACAATTTCTGTTCCAGCAGCTCCTACTTTAGGTTGTTCTTAGATGAATAAATTCTTGTCTGAAGTTAACAATTGGTTTAACCTAAATGGCCTTAAACTGAATCCATCTAAATGTCATATTGTTGATTTTAGTTTCAGATGCTAACAAGACTTGCGTGGACTGATCCAGTCGCATGATTCCTTTAGTATTGACGGCACTATGATAGGGAATAAATGCAGTATCTCTCATCTTGGCATGAGTTTCTCTTCGAATCTCTGTTGGTCGTCCCACATCCTTTTCATTTCTAAGAAAATTTTTCGTTTAACTTATTATATAAAGAAGTTGAGACTTTCTGACATAACTCAACCTCTTCCCTTACAATTTGTTAATTTATGCATTCTGCCCATTCCTCTTTATTGTTTGCCTAACTTATTCTTCCCTGGACCACTCACAGAAGACTATGTCATATTACGCAGAACATTGAAGACTGTAAGTAGGGTTAGTGGTGTGTCTCTGACTCAGCTAACCGACATAGGCACTTCAGTTCTTAGAAGCATATAGCTATAGTTATCTTGTCTGATAGCCTCTTGTCTTGTCTAAAAGCCTCTTTATTCTCAACTTTCTCCTTGTACCTCTTCGGGTAAAACCAGATGAAACTTCATTAGGATTTACGCTCATACAGCTACTAAATATAAAGATTTGACCATACCATATTTAGCACCGGTTCTGCGTGAAGAGAGAGTCAGATGTCAGAAAAGAACTTACAAACTTTTTATATCAGTAACTGAACTGTTAAGTACAAGCAAAGATCATTATTGCATGTGCTATCTATGATACTATCTACTTATACTCCACTACGTTTTCTAAAACATTCTGTTCATAGTGGATTCTTTATTAATATTATTATTATTTTAAATTCCATTCATGTACATATTTATAAAAGGAGCTAAACTGCTGTAACATGTATAAAAATGCTGAAAATTCCATACTGTATAATTATTATTGTTCGGAATAAAATGATCATTATTATTATTAGTATTAGCTAAGTTATTCTTACTCATAACCTGAAAGTACTTTTCTAATATGTAGGTGCTGTGGAAATCATTACATTCTTTATATATTTGTAATCTACTTTCGACTGAATTAATAAGAATTTTGTGTTATAAAACTGAACCAATCTATCCGATGCACTTTTGATTCTTTACTCAACTCCTGTTGATACGTCTTAGCACCATTTGCACAACGAAGATGAAAACCGGTTTTTTTTCAGTTGTTCCAGGCTTCAATCTGGGAGTTCACTAAATTTCATATTTCCGTATGGCTTTTTGTAGTATCCATCATGAAGTTCCCATCAGTTGTAGTTTTTTTAACCATAATGCGGTTGTTCTTATGGAAAGAGAGTTGTCGAACAAATAAGTATCGAAGTAATTTGTCACTAGTAAAGTATCTGATGAATTACACTTCGATAATTAGTGCATTCGTGGCGCAGGGACAGAATGCGCGGCAGTTACACATGTGGTGGATGATTCGAATTAAGGCTGACTTGCTCTTAAATCTCACCTAACTGTTAACCGGGGATATATTGAGGAGGCCGCCGAATGAAATCGCACGCCAGGCCATTGCTCGAGTGGAATCCAAATGGGAAGCGACGAGTGTATCGTCAGCTTGAGGGTGACATGGAGGAAAACGTGTGAGGAAGAGATGAGAGAGTTTGGTCAATCTTGGATCCAGCTGAAGATGGCTGAAGAAAACAGAACAAAGTGGGGATGTGTTGTTGAAGCCTTATGTTCCACTCGAAACGCAAAGGAATAATAATAATTTAAAAAACCTTTAGTAAGCCGGGTAAAGACGGAATGATGCCAGTAACCTGACACAAGCACTACTGAACCTTCATAGGTCTAAGGCTTGAAGCCGTATGATCTACGTGGAATGAAAGGGAATGAAAAAAATTCAGTGCAAAATCTAGTCTGACTACCGATTTGACTTTGTGATTGCTTACCTGTCACTTCTTTATTGCCTTCATGATCGCAATAGGATAAGATTTTGTCACCATATAAAGTTTGCATAGGCTGTGAATGAGTAAGATAAAAAAAGCTATAGAGAAATATCAACCAAGAATAAATTACATATATGAAGATTAACTGATATCATTGAAGGGATTAATATTCACTTTCAACTGTCTGAATAAATACTATAGTCTTATAATGAATATTATTCATGCTGATGTATTCTTCTTTGATTTGTTTCAATTCATCTGCCTGAAGTTCATTTCGCTTCTCAATCGTCTTGCTGAAATCTACACGTTTCTGTTGTGAACTGCTACTTCTGAACCATCTAAGCACTTCGTCGTATAAGCCCAGGAGATAGCCGCTACCCTGACATGGTGGTCGCGCTTGCATATCGACAGGCTACACTAGGTGAAATGAATATTCCTGCTGGTCAGACTAAAATTAGCCGCGGTCGTAATGTAAGTCGTCTGAGAGTGAGGTCATGTAGCTGGCAAATTGGAGTTAACGGCAGTTAGGTGTTTCTCTTAGACCACCAGGAGCAAGCCAACCAACTATGCTGATTCTTCTCCTATTGAATGCGGTAAATGAAGAGATTTTGGCATCGAAATTTAGAAATCCTGGCTCGTCTGGCAGTGGCCTATGGTCAGTGGTAAGAACTTTATAATAACAATACAACTCCAACAACCATTTCGAACAAGCCAAGCAGATATCCCTTGAGCTCTCCCTCTACATGAAACTAATACGCCTTCTCCTTGAGGTATTTCTAGAACAGGTTAGCTTATACAGTGTGAACAGCCGGGAGGTAATAACTGCCCACACAATTCCATTAGCTCACAGAGCTTTCCTGGTCACCACGCATTCGTATCTTCGTCACATCCATCTTCTTTCTTTTTGCTTTAACATTAACAACACACTGTTTCATCATGAAGATGCCCAAGATTTAACCTACTGTATTGTTTTTAGGATTATGTTAAGTAATATTCGCGTTAAGTGTCTAATAAAATGAGTAACTCAACTGCTGATAGGTCATCTACCATCCTGTTAGTACGCTGTTAATACAATCTAATAGGTATTCATTCATACGTTGACTTATTACATGTTTTATAAATCCTGGAGAAGTTGTGACATTATATAAATTATTTTGCAATTGCCATTTACAGACCATATTGGACAGAAACACTCAATCTGAAATGACACGTAATCTGATAGAGCGGAAGCTTCGAAGGCGTTTGACTGGTAGTAGCTAGTAATGGAACCCAGGATATGTACGTCGTCACATTTGGGTGTCTTCAGTTGCATGTACCTACATCCTCATTGAGTGATAGTGTTCCGACCAAGACTCGAACCTAATGCTAATATTTAAGTTCATCCCTTCCCTGAGTATGCTTTCTTTGAATTCCACTAATTTTCTGCCTGGAATTTCAACAGTCTAATTTATATTATTCATTAAATATCACATACCACGAATGATTTTGATATCCATAAGTTTATTCAACCGTTCAACTTGGTTCTCTCTAACTTATTCAGAGGCAGTTTCTTTTCTATTTCACCTAAATTCTAGTATGATTTTGTACATTTCTTTAATTCTAATTATGTGAAGTAAGACTAACGGCAGACTCCTTATTGATAAATGCCACTGTTTACAACGTACCCAACTAAATGGGTGGCTTTATTTAATTGTTAATATGGTTTAACATAGTTTTGCATCAAAAGAAATTAAGAGAATAAAAATATTATATTAGAACAAGACATATCAGCTAACAATATTGCTGTTTTCAATTAGATCTTCAGGCTTTACTCAAATTTACATAGATTTACATATAAAAATTTTAACCAATGACGGTGACTTTGTGGATCAAATAATGACAATAATAATGTGGTAAATATTTTGAACGTAATTAGTAATGATGATTATAATGATCACAAAATAATGACAATAAGGTTTATTCATATGGCGATAAGAATAACGAAGGTAGTAATACGCGTGTATATGTAGACAATTCAATAAATAAATTAGGTCAAATCTTAAAATTTACGTAATACTAAAGGTAGGTGAAGTGGACAGATAATCAGAGTGATTACCATAGCTTCGGCTATGTGTAAAAGGCGGATTTGAATTGCATTCGGAAAGTTCGATGGATTGTGACAGATAATTTTGAATGCGCTTTCTCTGTCCTTTTGGTGACTACTATCACCAACCAAATGAGTTAAAATAGAACTTCTTATAGATTTTTATTTGGCCTTTTCCAAACCATGAAGGAAGATGCTCATTAATGCGTTTGATAAGCTGTCTAGTAATTCGCCCTACATAGCTCTCTCCACAGGAGCAACTAAATTTGTAGATACACATAGAAGTGGTGCAGCTAGCTAGGTAGCTTGTCTTTCACTTGAGCAATCATAATTGGTCAGCTGGAAAATGAAAGACAAAGGGTGGTGGCGGCAGTGTAAGTCCATTTTATCGCTCTCCACAATCTCAGATGTAAGACTTCACTAGCCACGTCCCCATTAAATTGCAATGTCATGATCAGTTGTTTCTTTTTAACTGTTGTCAGTTTCTCTTTATTATACCTGATGTTCACGTGTCTCTTTAAAAATCTACTAGGATAACCAATTTGGACTGGCATATTTTGGACGGTTAAATTTTTTATATATAAAGGTATGTAAATCAGAGTAAAACCTGAGGGCGATCTAACTGAAAACAATATTGTTTATTGAAAATATGTCTTATAAACAACATACTTGATTATTAAATAAGGCTACGATGTTAATCTAAAAGATCACAGAAGGCCATTTGACGTCTGAGTCGCAAACGTCGATATGCATCATCAAAAAGTAATTCTGAACTCAGCACATGTTACAGAAAAACTTAATATCTGGTATCTTTTTAGTAATATCATTAGTATTATTATTATTGTTATTATTATTAACTACATACAACTTTAACTATAATATTCGAAAAACTTACCACAAATACTGGACAACTTTCAACTAAACCAGCAACTCCCTTATAAAAAGCCGATTCATCTTCACCAAACTCTGAATCTGGACCGAAGTACTGTTCATCCTCTGGGATTGATTGTTTAGATTTCCGCAGTGAACATTGACCGTAAGTATTCCTGTTCATACAGTTGACTGTTAAAGGTTGATCACAGTACGGTCGTATGCTTTTGCCCCTACATTGTAATAATATTAATAGTAGTAGTAATGCCGGAGACCGATAGGATATTTGTCAATGAAATGGAATTATTGATTCATGTTTGTCTGTTTCTACTAAGAACTAACCACAGGCATTTTGTGCATATAGGCATTTTAAGCCAGCAGGCCTAGTAGACTCCAGTACTGTTACACGCATTTTGTTATGAATACCTTAAAAGTTGGTGTGACTTTGACACTTAAGCGCACTAATATCATACTATCGCTAATATTTGGACCATGTAGTGTCTTATATTACGATTCTGTACTGATTTAAAATTAAACCATCAAATAGTACTTGAATATTGATGGCATAAGTTTCACCTTAGAACGAGAATCGAACACATTTCCATTCCTTGATGTACTACTCACCAGATGACACAACTGTGCAGCGAAACCGCCTTTCTAAATGTCTGAAGAAGACATTTCCAACAGCCACTCTACGTATCACATTCTTTTGCGGACACTTTATCCAGTCTAACGCTAAGGACAAGATACCGCTTTTGGCCACTTCATTGCGTATTTATCAATTTACTTGCTCATGTGGAGCAAAGTATATCGGCCGCACACAACGTCAAGTTCACAAACGCATTCTGGAACACTGCCCAGCTTGGTTATCCAGAGGGGAAAAGAAGAATAGCAAAAGCTCGATCCTCGAACACCTGGTCATCTCTGGACATCGAGCACCCCCGCATGAATGCTTCACAGTGTTACACAGAGTCCCTCAATATCGTACAAAGGGACTTCGGATACGCCCTCTGTACATAGCTGAAGCATTAGCTATTCGAGATCTGAAACCGGACCTCTGCATCCAAAAGCGATACATACATTCTCTTGCCTTGCCATGGCCAGAGTAAAGTTCTTATCACAATTTTGCTTCTTTCCTTTATTATGTAAGTTCACCATTATCATTATTATTTTATTAATACTTTTATAATCATTACTATTCCCATCATCCACATTTTATTACCACTCTATTACTGTTAATTAATAACATTACTTTTCATACATATTTTATACAAAAACACTTCAGAGCCTTTCCACTAGTTCCTGTCCATTTTACACGCGCTTATTGATTATTCATTATCTCACACTTATTACGTCATGCCAACTTCTGTCTCCTTTCTAACTTACAATTAGTCTTCCCTTCTTACACCTTACCCTATGTAATGCAATTTTCCCAGGACGAAATTTACCAGTATCTGATTGGTCCAAAGATTTCTTTGTTAATTATAATTACGATTGTACAGCTCATGAAAATGAATCTTCGAAAAGAAAATTTTCTTCGCTGTTTGTGCCTTTTTCTTATGACTCAATATGAGAATATTTCGTTCATTTTTAGAGTTAACCGAAGCACTCCTAAACCTCGTTTTGCCGCTGGTAAGCCTGGTAAAGAGGAAAGGTTGGGCGTGAGGCTGGCAATCCCGTCCCCAAAAAGAGGAATAACAGTATTCTTGAAACTTCAGAGCACTAGCTTGAATCCCTATGTTCGAATCAGAAAGCGAAGGAATCAGAATTCTTTTTTGGGTACTGGTTGCAGTAATTGCAATAGATAACTGTGATCACTGTTAGATAGTAGGAAACACTGCTCTAGAAGCTTGCGGGTTTTTATAATTACACACAAGCACTAAATTCACATAAAGCAGACTATGATGACGACTTCCAAGATTCCATTCTAAATCATGCAGAGCTATAGTGAAGAAATAGTACAGCAGAATCCTCACTTAAAAGTATATTCCTACATTACCTTCTGTACAGTCACCAATTCACAAAGGTGATTTCGTTGCTAGTGAGAAGTTGTAACCAGCGGAATTCATCAAATTAGGTAAGAGGGCTGTTACTCGTGGAAGTTAGAATTCGTGGGCCACTGGATCAGGTCCCAGAGGCTGAATGGTTTCCAAACTTGCTTTGTCAACTGAAAGTCCTATGTCTGAACCCCGATGAGTGCGTACTGACTGACAGTTGACCAGTATTCCCTGTGTTAACTACATATGAAGTAGAATGATGGTGGCTGACTAATCAAAAACTGCGTATATGCATTCGCCATCTAAGGTTATTCTGACAGAGCGTTGGTAGTTCACTCGTGGACTTATCGCCAACCATGCGGGACACCTGGACTCGACTCCGGTCGACGCCCTCTTAAAATTTGCTTAGCAAGTAGTTAACCTATTGAAGAAGGAGAGTTGGGAGTGAGGCTGATAACCCCACCCTCTGAAAAAACTACAAGTGCCACTGAAAATTCAAAATTTGTACTACAGCATTAGAGCGTCTTAAAGAAATGGAACGCTTTTAAGGTGAATTATCCGTACACCATACTTGCTTAGGTTTTAACTTTCTAGAGAGAATGAATCACATAGATTTTGAAGTTTATGCAAATAAATCAAATTTTAAAAATTTCAGATATTTATATGGTAAATAAATTTAACCTTACTCTGATTTTCGATTTCTCATGTACTCGTAACAACTTTTCATAACAAAATCACATCCCACATTTTTACCGTAAATCCAATTCCCACTCATAGAATAATTGACATCATACCACCTAATGTATGATTTTAGAAATTAGAGATTAATTTAGAAAAATTGTCGAATTTAATAAACATTAATTCATAAATGGCTTCATATCCCGCTAAAATTGATGTTCATACAAATATTTATTTACCAGTTTAATTGCCCGTCCGGAGGTAGTTACATTGGGTATAGAGTCCTGCAGGTTCATTGTCGAATTTCTGAACACCTCCCATCTTGGTTTGGTAGAGGTCCGAATAAAGCTATACGCAGCTCAATGCTAGCTCATCTCGTCGATACTGCACATCAGATCGACTCTAACAAAACTTTTGAAGTTACTTATCGTATGTCACCCAACCTCTTGCATGGTCTACAAGTACGACTTTTACATACAGCAGAGGCAATCGAAATGCGTCTGAACAAGCCAGATCTGTGCGTTAGTTCTTTCTTTGCCAAGGTCAACTACATAATGCGTATTAATTTTTTAAAAACGATTTTGCCCTTCACCTTATAACTATCTTTTGACTTTGTTAATTTTTGCAATTTTTAAAATTCTAGCTAATTCTAATAACTTGCTTGTATTTTAAGTAATTCTTCTGAGTCATCCTATTCTTCTTATATATTATTATTATATTATTGTTCCCTTGGGTTCCTAGTGGAACATAGGGCTTCAACTACACATCTCCACTTTTTTCTGTCTTCTGCTGTACTTTCCACCTGAATCCATGTTAATCCATACTGTTTCAGTTCCTCATCACACGATCTCCTCCATGTCACCCTTGGACGTCCCACTCGCCGCTTCTCTTTCGGGTTCCACTCGAGTGTTGGCCTTACGCGTGATGTCACTCAGCGACCTCCTCAGCGAGTGTCCAATCCATCTCCACTTTCTCCTGCATATTTCTTGGGCGATTGGTTCTTGTTTTGTCTGTTCCCATAGATTCTTGTTGGTGATTCTTTCCGGCCATCTGATCTTCAGTATAGAACGAAGGCAGTTGTTGATGAAGGTCTGCAACCTGTTGGAAATATTCTTTGTGACCCGCCAAGTTTCTGATCCGTATAGCAAAACTGACTTGACATTTGTATTGAAAATCCGAATTTTGTTGTTGATGCTGAGTGACGAAGATTTCCAGATTGGTTTCAGGTTGATGAATGTGTTTCTCACCTTCCCCATTCTCGATTTGACATCCTCGTCCGTTCCTGCTGTAGTTGAGACAATGCTCCCTATTCTTCTTAGTTATCATCATTTTACAAATTTCTTGATTATGTAATAACTTGTCGCTAAAGCCTAAGAATCAACTTATCTTGAATTCTGTAATTAATTCTCACTCCTCTTTTCAAACTTAGATATCTTGTTAATAATAGCAATTAGTCTATTGTTTTAATAATAATAATAATAATTTGCTTTATTCCAGAAACATTACTAGTAGTACAGTGTGGAATTTTCAGCACATATCTACAATATTTGCATCTGATTTTACCGACATTTAAAATAAGTACTAAACAAAAAAAAAACAAATCTGAAGACACCAACAGCAAAAAAAGCAGGATAAACACAAAATAATTGTAAATGCGAAAAGTACCAAAGTCTACCAAGGTCTAATGCAGTGTTTGTGGTGGTAGTGTGAGTAATCCTGAATAATACAAAATGTTTTAAGGTGGTGGCTATGGCGTTCACAAACAATGATTGTCAGTTTAATATTGCCGAAAAGTATAGAAAATAAGAAAAAAAACAACCACAAAACTAATAATTACGTGATGGTTAATGACAGGACAATTTCGTAAAACTCATAGTGCAGATAGAGTAGGAACCAGTGGATATACAAAAGAAGGAATATAGTAAAGTACAAAAAAAGGAAGCCAATGTTAATATTTTAGGTAGCTAAGTATGTTTGAAGAAGGAGTTCACTAAAGAATACAAAATAAGAGAGAAATAATGACCTCTAACATCATAAATTCACACCCACATCCCTAAAACTGATTAGCTAAAATAACCATTTGATTGGTAAAAGATTTTTGGTGTAAAAAGCTATACATTAGTGTAGAGTCAGTCGATAATGCGGAACTAATTGAGAAGGAATGCATATTTATGCAAGTATTAGTTTGTAGGGATTTGGTTGAGTGGTTACAGGATTTCATCGTGAGCTGACAACAGTTAGAGAACCACTGGAAAACCTGGGAGTACTGGACAGCTTTTTCGTCCTAGTTTGGGACTCTTCAGCAGTACGCACCCACCGGGGTTCGAACCCAGGACCTTATGGTAGGGAAGTCGTGGGAAGTCGCGACCAGTAGGGTGCAGCAGGTCGTGTGTGAGGACAAATACTCGCCGAAGACATTGGCTAGCGGTTACCCTATATCTTGAGTTGGCAGAAGTTAGAATTCATGGGCCATTGGATTGGGTCCCAGTGGCTTAATGGTATACGAGCTCGCCTTGTAACCAGAAGGTCCTGGGTTCGAACCGTGGCGGTGGGTGCGTACTGTGGAGAGTCCCAAACTAGGCTGACGAAACAGCTGTCCAGTACTCCCAGGTTTTCCAATAGTTCTCTAACCAATATCAGCTCATGATGAAATTCTGTAACGAATGCATATTTCTTCGCTCAATCTATTGTTTTTTCAAAATGACTAAATAGGAATTTGAAAATATATAAGGGAAAATTTTGTTTGGAACGTTGATGACAAATTGACTTCAGCTGGAGAACAGCTGGAAACCAGAGAGTACTGGACAGCTGTTTCATCTTTGTTTAAGAGTCTTTAGAACTACACACTAATCATCCCACCAGAGGTCGAACCTAGGACCTTTCGGTTACAAGACGAGATTGTACGTCATTCAGCCACTGCGATGGAATTCTATAGTCCATCAATTCTAACGTCTATCAGTACGCCTTGGTTTTCAGTTGTTCTCTAGTCAAAATTTAATCTTGGAATCCATCAAACCCCTGAAAAAACCAAAACTTACAAATAAACTTTTATGTTCATTCATATTTCGTCCTTTTTCTTAAAATATGAAGAACCGCATTTCAGTAATTGTTTTAATGCATAATTCTCAAATATATGTTACCGGTGAAATATAAAGGCGTGAGCAGTCTCTGTCTTCTAAACACGTAGAGAAAACTCTTAGGAAAATAATTAGAAAAGAAGAGGAAAACTCAGAACGCAGTGGACACGTCAGCACCAATCAGTGGGATAGCTGGCGATTTTTTCCCTATCCATAAGTTAAATATTAGAAACTGATACAAAAAATTGAGGTTATGAGAATCAGATAAGTCAGGTTTCTACATTTCTAGTTTTATTATTAGTTGAATCAACTGTCTACTGATCAAAAGTAGTGCATGTTTCATTTTATCAATCAATTGAAACTAGACATGGTTGGGGGATTTCATCATGAGGTGACATCAGTTTCATCAGGCTAGTTTGGGACTCTTCATCAGCACGCACCCACCAGGGCTCCAACCCAGCACCTTCTGGTACTGCTGAAGAGTCTCAAGCTAGGCTGATGAAACAGCTGTCCAGTACTCCCTGCAGGTGTTTCAGTGGCTCTCTTACTGACGTCAGCTCATGATGAAATCCTCCAACCAATCAAACAAACAAAATTCCCTACAAAACCAATACTTGAATAGTAAAATAAGATTTATTTATTTGATCAGTAGGTATTCAGTTCATTCTGTGTATTTGTTTTAATGAAATCTGAGATGACATTTAAAATTGGAAGAATTGGCGGACCCTTCACGTGTGTTTTCAGTTCCATATTAAGAACACGTAATCCTGAAAACGTGATTGACAAAATCTAACTACAATTCTTCATTATACTAGTTAGACACATCTTTCTGACTGTCATCAGCGAAGAAAACCCTTGTTTATGATTTCCTAAGCATTGGTGCAAATAATGTAACACAAAGAAAAACTTTCCTAGATTGATTAGCTAGATAAAATGCCATCATTTAAAAGCGTTCGTGCACACTTAGCTGGCTACCGTTAAAACTTAAGTATATCATGGCAAAAAGTATTATAAATTATTTAAAATAATCCCAGCGTGTTTAAGAAAATATCAAAAGAAGATTTTTCTGAACGTTCCGTTTTGTAAGCCACAGCTTTCTCAGCACAAGCAGCTTGAAAAGTAGGTGATAAGGATGTATGTGTAAGACCTGGCTAGAGTTTGACCGTATGTAATTCCTCCTATCTGGAATCAAAATATCGGGTAATTGGATTTCGGATCCTCCCGCCCCATGTCATTGAAAATAGGATTTCTGAAATGTTTGGGGGATAGGGCAGAAAAACTGAGTAGTACCAAAGAAAATCTAAGACAGGAAGTGCGACATATAAGAGAAGCTTTGAAACTTAATAATTATGCTAATAAATTAATCAGGAAGTATGTAGGAAAAAGTAAAAATAACAATTATAATATTAATGACGACATACATATATCAAACATGCACAGAATAACGACAACACCAAAAGCAGCGAATTTAAATCATCAGTAGCATTTCCATACAAAGACGGAACCTCGGAAACCACCTTACGTAGAGTTCTCAACAATGCAGGAATATAGGTGGCATTCAAGCCCACAAAATCTAGATTAGTTGACCCAAATAAGATAAGAAATTTACAGAATAGTTCAGCCATAGCACTACATACAATTACTCACAACCATACAATAGGATGGGATGGGATAAGATGACAGTTTTAAAGTCGAATGCCACAGGGTGGAGGGAGAGACTGATAACAGAAGCTTTGTTTATCGAATCAACAGCAAATACGTGTAATAGGAATGATTCAACACCTGTCCACCCAGACATCTGGAAAATTCTACTAACTCAAAGACGACAAATATGAGAGAACAAAGAAAATCATAAAATTCAAGTTTCGAAGTCGTGTGATTATAATTTATATGGTTATGAACAATAAATTGAACTCGAAATTCCATTCAGTAAATACTATGTCTAATAAACCAATTGATATGGAATTAGGTGATAGGGACGAAAAAATGGAGTGGAGCATCTTACTAAAAGTGTATATATGTGGACAAAATTTCAGCAGCTAAAGTTTTTCCGTCTTTATAAATCATAAGCCTACTGAAAAGAACAAAAAAGTGTACCATTTCCTTCACTAATGACAGTGAACTAATGATTACAATTATATGCATTATATACAGAAAAATCACAAATTTCGCAATAAACTACAAATTACTAAATCATTTTGGAAGTAGTATGTCTGTATTCGTCAAATTCATTCCGTTAAATGTGAATTCGGTCAACACTTAATTGCAGTTTCCAGTGAACAGACGTTTCTCACAATATTTAAATCGTAATCTTAATCTCATTAGCTAACAAGGTATTAGATATACACCGCTTAGTTTCGGAATGGTCTTTAAGCTTGGTCGGTTTGTGATGATAAAGTTTCATACGGAGTTTTCGACGTGAGTCTAAACCTTATAATCCATGCTATTTCCCTGGAAAGAAGCCATGATAAGTTTTATATAAGTCACATAGCTAAGGGACCGAATGAAGTGGCTAATAAATTACAAATTTTCATTACAATGAGAATATAAACATTCTTACTGAGACATAAAACAAAGATTTCAGAGAAGAAAACGCCCTTTTCAACGATTTTGTCTTTTTTAGCTGCACAGTCGCATTTATTTGTGTATCATTTATAGTAGACACTAATAAGTGGTTTTGTTGTGTGTGGGTATGCATACTAAAGTGACTATGAATCAAAATTTGAGTATACATGTGAATGAATAAGTTATTACGTGTCAGCACAAAGATCCTGGATTATATGAATGACAAGTTTATCGTATATGATGAGAACTGTGACTTGGAAGACATCCTGAAAGTATTTTGATGACAGTCATTCCGCCATCTGGTTTGAGTTGGAAATAAAAGAAAATATGGCAAAATATCTTTACTTGATGTGCTACTCACAAGGTGAGCTGACTGGTCGTCAAAAATATATAGTTGACAAAAAGCTGACAATGATGGCACAACAGACTAATTGTTACTCTTTTGTTCTCGTAGACGAAGAAAAGAATTTGATTCCCATTCTCCCTCAACATGCGTCCAGAGAATAACTAGTGGAGACGACGTTGACGAAGAACTTGGACAGTTGGAAGAGACTTTCGTAGAGAACAGTTAGCCGATACGCTTTTTCGAAGTCCATATTTAAAAGGTGAAAATGTGAGTGAATTAAATTTGTAAATTCGTTGACAAGATCATTGTGGAAAGCATTTTTTGCTCCCACTCTAAGAATAACGTAATCTAATTGCCCACTGATGAGCGTTAATGCTACGGGAATGTTATATGGATTGTCCAATTCCATCTGCATTCACCTACTCTTGTGTGGGTAAGTACAATGAATTTTCGAAATCACTGGAAGGGGGAGGTTCTTCGGTGGTTGAGAATTCAGTAAAAATAAGCAACATAATAAACTTATATCAAATTTCAAACAGCCACGAGGAAGTAAATGCAGTGAAATTCAGTTTAGCTATTGACTATTAAACCGGTTACATGAGTCTTATTTCATTGACTGACAAATAAAGTAAAAGTAAAACTGCGCTTAAAGATCTAGTGATTAGAAGCACTGTTAACTAATCAGTCGTTGCAAATGAAACTTATCGGTAAATTACTTCATCCTTACAACTTTCGTACTTAATTCCAATTTGCCCTTTCGATGGAGACTTTAAATAATGTTGTATCCTTCCGCCCTAAAATTCAGTCTTGAATCACACATATCAGTCCAGCTAAGCTTGACAACTAATTCGAAGACGAATTCAAGTTCTCAGTGTACGACAGTGAACTTTTATGCACTGTATCTCCAGCATATTAGTACTATCTTCTTAAGTTCAGAGTGGAAAAAAAGGGTTTCAGATGTACATCTCGATTTCGTCCTTACCTTGTTTAAGTATTGCATCATTTCGATTGCTCATCAAATCAACACCAAACACGTGCAGCCGAAATGAAGCCATACATTTCCTGCATACGCCTAGAAGTGCAATATAACCAACAGGGAGTAAGGCTAACTAAGGCAAGTTATCAAGCACTGTGGATACATAAACAACGACTTCAGCGACATCAAATTCACAAGAGAAGAGGAATCCGAGAACTAAATCCCATTTTTGGATTTCTTAGTCAATCGAACAACCACAGGGGAATTAGAAAATCAAGTTTATAGGAAATCAACTCATGCGGACCAAATACTCAATTACAACAGCAACAATCCAATAACACACAAAAGGAATTGAATACAAACACTATTCAAGAGAGCCAGAAATCATTGCAGCACTCCCACTTTGCAGAAAATTGAAGAAAGATATCTCATGGACGTCTTCCGAAAGGACGGATATCCACGGAATTCCATCAAAAGACAAATACCCCGAAGCCAACCTATCAAATCAAAGGTCCCAAAGAAAGCACAAGGAAAATCGCCCTACCATATATAAAGGACATCTTGAAAATCACTGCAAGACTCTTCAAACCTCTAGCAATTGATGTCGCATACAAACCAACAAAATCACTTCACTCAGCTGGCTCTATGTCAACCAAAAGACTCAACAACGAAAGAAGATGAAATCAACATCATCTACAAAATAAATTGTAACAACTGCGAAAAACACTACATTGGTCAAAGTGGAAACGTCTTCTGAGTCTTCGTATCCATGAACGCAAGCTAACCGTCAAAAGATATGAAATCCACTCCCTCATTTCTCTGCATACAGACAACCGCAGACATCAGTTCGACTTAGCCAACATTCAAATACTAGATGGAAGAAAAACCAAGAACGCGAGAGGATTTTTAGTAGTCTGCCTGGTATTACAGTGGATCTTCAATCAATAGGCACATTGACATAGAAGAAATTTACCACACACATAGGGTCAAAGTTCAAGTCAAGGAAACAGTCAACACCAATACCAATACAAGTAGCCTAGAGGGTGTGAAAACACACAAGAACAACCAAGTACCTTTAAAGTCACCAGGAGACAAGACTAATAAACTAGTGGAGAAATCTAAAAGCTCACTCCAACAAATTGAGGTATGCGCTGAAGATGTTGCCTAGTAGGGGGCAATGAAAGCTTTGCAAATAAACTATCCAGCTCAGAAAACACAACCACATCAAAACCATCCACCTGAGCTACAAATCTTCCCCATCATAACTGTGGATGCATCTATAAGATTATGAGCAGTAATAAATTGTACTCCTCTAAGTAATACTGCATCCCTGTTCATTATATCAAACATACTTATCTAATATAGAATTGTATTTAACTACATTGCCTAAGTTCTTCACTTGAATTAATAACAGTTAAAGTATCTAGCTAGGCTAAACGTTTGCTTCATTATTTCAGAGTATTGTATATATTTTATTTTACGCCAAGTGTATTCGAAGGAAAGTCGTTTGTGAGTGAATTCTAGCCGGTTAAATCTTTTGAATATAACTTACCCAGTATCTTTAAAATAGGCCAAAGTAATTCTTGAAGGAATTAATTTCACTGCAGTTGCACCAGCCATTAATTCATCCTGGAAAAGAAATTCATTGAAAAACTCATTCCACTCTTTCCCAATGACATAATATTTTAAAACTCATGAAGGAAAACCGTCCTGCAATCTCCATTCAAAAGTTGAAGCATGCAATCGACGAAACAACTTCCTACTATCGAAATGTTGATGACACATTTATAGTTTACAACAATGAAAGTCATGCTTCATATTTACTCAGATTATTCAATGATGCACACGCCAATATTGAGTTCACTATGGAACATGAAAGTGACAGAAAGTTTCACTTCCTCGACACTGCCATGTAATGCTTAGAAGACGGTAGTCTTCAAAAGTTAATTTATCGAAAGCCTACATTGAAAGGACAATACTTACATTTTAGTAGTTTTTGTTCAAATAGCTTTAAACGCGGTCTAGTCAAGACTGTGTACTATAGAGCGAGGAGAATATACTCTATAGAGAAATTAGAGGAAGAATTTGAGTTTCTTGAAAAGACTGGTTTTGTTAAATTACAGATATGCTTTACTGATGAGTGCCAACTAGCACGAAACCTGGGTCCAAGGCTTCTTACCAATTGCCTCCAACTATGTAATATCATCAAATCAATGTGCACCGTGATGGCGAGCTACCTAGAATGGTGACCACATTGCAAAACCTGACTGATAGAATTCAGTCTGCACCAAAGAGAGGACTAGACACATCACACTAGTTACCAGTGTCCAATTAGAATTGTTTTTGTTGATATATTTAATAATGTCTTTGCCCTGTAAGAATCTGACGAGAAGGCAACGAAACAAAAGATTGTACCAATTTATTCTGCTAAAACTGTAATTCTTTCTTTTGTTCAAATTCATCTTAGGGAATAAATGTATGAAATTTCTATTCACAAAATCTATTCACAATAATGATGCTTATGTGAATATTTCAGCTAACTTACTAATTACTACCCTTTAACCCTGATCTGTATGTTACTGTCTTACCATTCATATGGCGGCTTTTTTAACCTTGTTTTGGCTTGGTTACTAATTTGAGTGCTTCTCTTTGTTGTTGTTGTGTGACAGTGTTGATGGCGTGTTGTTATACGACTGAGAGTGTATTAGAATAGAGTCAAAGTTACTCCGTGGAGTGTCTGCTTGAACTTGGACTATCTTAGGGAAACATGTTTTCAGTTTTATTTGATTCTAGCAAGCAACGTTTTAATCTCAACCTACTGAGAATATTCTTACTGATTCTCAGGCAATTCACAACTGTGCACGGCTAATTGCTTTTGTTGTACAGCACGTATTTTCTACTTGAGAAACTTTCGGAGAGCACAGATACTGAATGGCTCTGTTGAAAACTTAGGTGAACGAAGTAATTGCCTTAAGTCGCAAAGACCTTGGTTCTATGGAACTTCAATAACTGACTCAATCAAGAATGATCCTCATAGATTATTGTATTATTGCAGCCTTGCGTTCTCAGTAGAACGTAGGGCGTCAACAGAACATCTCCATTTCACTCTGTTATCTTCAGTATTTTTTCAGCTGATTCCACGATTAGTTAGGGTTATTGTTTACTTCACCAAAATGTTCCAGAAATGTGATGAATAATCAAATTGTAACTAGGGGCGGATGGAGATTGGTAAGTATTGACAAGGGTTGTGTAACATGAAGGAAATCCAGAAAAATAGGATATTAATGAAAGAGCATGCAGACATGTGTCCAAAATAGATTATGCAATAAGCAGAACGAATAAATAAAGGGTTGGTTAAGAAAAAGATGTTACTAAGATGTCATACAAAAATTCAAAAACGCATTATTAACAAAGTAGTAGTGTAACAACAGAAGACAAGGGCCAGGCAACAGAACGTTTATTACGGAAAATCAACACATATTTATAGATTTTGACGTACATTATTGTAGGTTAATGTTAGTAGAAAATACAGTCTGTTGATTGGTTGTTTTTCACACAAAGTTAACTTTACATCTCTTGTGGCTGTGTCAGTTCTGTATCCGCCTGTCCATCTTGACCTTGACCTCAATTACTGTCAACCAATTTGGCTAGCAACCATCTCTCACCACAGTAGAACTTGGAATTATAGCCAAGGTAGAAGGAGGCGGTGGAGAAATTCTTTCTGTGTACATCAATCAGGATTTCCTATCCAGATCACTAAGGACACGACTTACCATACGCTTTCGTTTTCGCTATACATAATCTCCTCCATATTGCCCAAATATCCACCCTAACTCGTTATTTCTAATTCGGGTTCCAGCAGAGGACCTGGTGCGTGGTGTTACTAAGTGACCTTCTCATAGTATATCCTGTCCATCGCCATTTGTTTCTGCTTGTTTATTGGGAGACGGGTTCTTGGTTCGCTCGCCGCCTGTCAGAATTCCTTGTTGCTCATTCCCTCTAACTGGACCATCAGATTTTCAGTATGGAGTCAGTAAAGGTACCTGTTGATATAAGACTGAAGCAAGACTCTGAGCCACATAGAAGCACTGTATGACTTGACATCAGTGCTGAAAATCTGAATCTTGTTCCTTAAGCTCAGTACAATAGATTTCCAAACCGGTTTTGTATTATTGGAGGTCTGTCCTGCTTTTCCGATTCTTCTTGTCTTTGACACTCTCAACCGTGTCACCTCTATCTGTCCCCAATGGTCAGAGTATAGGTTACTATAAACCAGGTGGTTACCAATGATATTTAGAATTTATAGCAAAGTTATGATAATTTTCAAATACGATCATGAAAGATCTTACAGTAATTATACACTTGATTTCAGAAACCAGATTTAATAAGTTTACGCTATCCTAACTGATTAAAAAAAGTGACATTATTATATTATTATTATTTCCTTTAGTTCCTAGAGGAACATAGGGCTTCAGCCATGCGTCTCCATTGCGTTCGGTTCTCTGCTAGAGTTTTCACCTGGCTCCAAGTCTGCCCATACGCTTTCAATTCTTCTTCACATGATCTTCTCCAAGTCACCCTTTCACTGACGACCAACTCGCCGCTTCCCTTTCGGGTTCCACTCGAGGGCTTGTCTAGTGATGAAAAAAAGTGACATAGGGGATATGAATTCTTTTCTATTGTAGCACTTAATCCCCAGCAGCCTATTGTAGACGTTGCTCATATATTTTATTGGGGTTATTTTTAGATCAACAAAGATTTATGAAATCAAACAGTCAAGAAAATCTAGATTTATGATGCGATAGGCATTATGAATCCTTATACTGCTAGAACATATCCTTCAAATTAGCCAGGAATGCTTATGTATCTTTTAGGGTTGAAGAGCGCAAACGCTGATAGGATTTGTCTAAGTGAGTGGAATTTAATTGTTTCTGGAAATCTGAATAACACAGAGAGCAAAAACATGATCATATCAAATCGAAACCATGCCGCTAATCACTGGAATAGGGTTTAATGCGTGCTGAACAAAATCATGTTTTTCAGTAAAATTTCTTTTATTCTGGAAGCTTAAAACTGTGTGATTGTTTGGTTTAGGCTTGAAGTAATTTCTACATAGCTAAGTCTCCTATTTTATCACAGTGTTTGATTTCTAAGAACACAAAGTAGGAACTATTATGGCATTTGCTGTTAGTTGCTTCTCATCTCTCACTACTTATCTCTAGCGTATAATATTCAAACAGAAGTTTCACAAAATATTTCACTACAATGCGGTGAAACTGACGAAAATTTCAGCCGACCAGAAGTGGTTACAAAAAGTTGAATAACTAAGTTCCGTTTTAGCGACGGAAGAAGTTTACATTAGGCCAGTATGCTGCACTAACTCTATGTTACTTGTTGAAGGATATGAAAGTGCTGCTCAACTTCTAGTTGTAACTATGGGTGCTAAAAGCGTATAATATAGAAAGCAATCATGGCATCCCATAGTTAAGTAGATTTTACAGGTAAGCATAATCAAACCCAGGTGAGTGCGTACTGTTAAAGAGTCCCAAACTAGGACGAAACAGCTGTCCAGTACTCCTAGGTTTTCCAGTGGTTCTCTAATTGATGTCAGCTCTGATGATGACATTATGAAATTTTCCATGCAATCACCTAATATTTATTTAACATTATAATTCAATAAACTAACAGACTGCAGTTCAAAATATGGAAGACTTCTAACAACCTCTCAACATCCTTATTTTCCCCATCCCAAATAGAAACAGAAATCCATAAACTTCATATTCATTTTATGAAGAAAATTAGGGTGAGATCTTTTCTAATAGGGTCCTTCCCATTTATTATTAGATTTTCGAACTCGAAATTGGATACTTAAGACGGATATCAGTTTTTAATGGACGACATTCTCACTTAATTTGTGATCATCCTAACGATTCATAAAATAGCACTGAATATGATGTCCCGTTTGACTTAAAAGTTTTGCCCTCAAAAATTCATGCTTTAGTAACTATAAATTATATGATTATTATTATTATTCGTTCATTACATTCCGCGTAGAACACAGGTCTCTATCATCACTTTCAACTGACTCGACAACCACCCACAAGTCTTCATTTCCCACATGTTACCTGCCCTCAGACGCTTCCTATTCGGATCTGAGGTGTACTGTTGCTTAAATGTCATCATGTAGTATACCAAATTCAACTCCACTTCTCTGTACATATTTCCTGGGCAGTCAGCGGGTTCCTGACTGGCTCACAACCTGCTAGATATCCTCGTTGCTTGCTTCTACTGTGACACCTTCTTCATTGAGTGAAAGTAGATGCAGTTGAAAGTTCCCAGACTGTTGGAAATGATTTGGTGACTCGCTCGCTAAGTCTGTGAGCCGTCTATAGAAATGCTGCTTTGACATAAGTGCTAAAAATTCCAACCTTATAAACTAGACGACCTTCAACAGTTCATAAATCATGCTCAGTCTCAGCTCATGTTAACCTCTGCTAAGATCTGTAGTGAAATTAAACTAAATAATATATGATCACACAGTATTGAATTAAATTTCAGATACTTACACCAATTATTCTTTTCTCAAAATGCGTGTTTGCTGTACCATCTCCACCTTCATTTTCTAAGTCCACACCATCTAGTTCAGGACAACCATAGTGTCTTCTTGCCTCTTCCTCAATGAAAATTTCAAATAGCAGATATTCATTAAATGGAATATAAATTAAACGGAAAATAGAAATGATTTACATCAATACAATTTTTAAGTTCTTATATGACAATGGATTAAGACAAGATGATCTTGAAGTTTACACACATCTGTATAAAACCTCACTTCCAAAAATAACAGTATCAAAACACCGTAGTCCCCGAATGGAACCAAATAAGTTGAAAGTGTTTACCTTAAATAATTATGTAATACATACAATTATGTATTTTAATAAAGTTTCACGGTCGGCGACCATACCACAAAAGTTCTCATCAAAGCGTCGAAGTTAAGCAACGTTGGGCCCAGTTAGTACTTGCATGGGTTACCGACATCTTTATGCGTCGGTGGTGCAGGGTTCGATCCCCGGTCAACGCACTTCCAAACTTCTCTTAGCCAATAATAAGCCCGGCATACAGGGAATGTTAGGCGTGAGACTAGCACTCCCACCCCGTAAAAACAAGTACCACTGCTACCAAACCTTCAAAGCTCTAGTTTGAAGTCCTATCAAGGAAAGGATTTATTAGATGGTTGGAAGCAATCGATAGGAATTCTTGGACCTAGGAGTCGTTTTCTAATAAAACTGTGTAAGAGTGTGGGGAACTGCCTAATTACTTCTATGGTATATTTGCGTAGTGTGACTGCAGTACTGTTTGCAGGCGTTTAAGTTTCACTTGAACCATATTCAAATGTTGGACGTGATTCCTTGCATCCTGAAAGTATAGGCCTCATTCCTGCTGGGTTTGTTGGTGTCCACTGCTCATAAGTCTCAAACTACGAAGAAAAATAACTGTCCAGTAATTCTTATTTTTCAGCAATTGTTCTACTGATATGGGATCGTGAGGAAGTCTGTATCGGAATTTTGATGAAATAGTCTGGTATAAGAGCATTTAGTCTGAAAATGGCACTGTTGTTCATATTTTCGTTATTTATTTCACGAACTGATTACTCATTACAGATAAAAGTGCAACATATGATTCTGTAAGCCCGACAAAGTGAAAATAAAATAATTTTTCAAACATAATATTGAGCTGGTGTGATTAGCGTCCATGGCAGTAGGGAATTTAATGTTGGTGAGTGCAACTATAACAGATATGACAGATATGGTATGATTTGAGGGTGAAATTATGGCAAAATAACAAAAAGGATTTACAGTACACTAAATGAAATAAATTCTCCATTCATCTTTGTATATGACTTAACGTACTGAACTAAATTTTGCGTAATACATGAATTTGTCTGGGCTTTAAAGCCGTGACGAAAAAGTCCACCAAGCCAGGTGTGAGGACATACAATCATCAGAGACATTCGTTGGTGATGGTACTGTATATCACGAATTGGCAGAATTTGGAATTCACGAATCATTGCATCCTATCACAATGGTAGGATCGTCAACGAGCTCACCTCTTAACCTAAAAATTCTGGCTTTGACTCTGTGTGAGATGATGGGTGTGTACTGATGAAGAGTCATAGACTAGGTTGAAATAGTCTTCCAGTACTCTGTGGTTTTCAATGGTTCTTAGTTTATTTTTGTTTTGAAGTTAGATTGCGTTTCCCTCTGATAGATTATATTGGACCGAATCGCTTGTTCTCTGCTGACATGCCAGGTCCAAGTACGAACACTTTGACGATATCGAAGTTACTAAGATTGTTGGTGACTGGCACTGGAATCCGGGATGTGCACTACGTACTATTTGGCACTCGTCCATGCACGAACCTACATTCCCAAGTGGGAACAGCATTACTTATTGGGAATTGCAGATACATCCAAGTGATAAGTCTCATATAGAAAGACATGTACATTTTGAGTTCCACAACTAATCACTACCAGCCGAATTGACCTAACATTTTTTCTTTTGTTAGTTTATAAATGCTAAAAAAAATAAACGACAAGTGTTGACCGTCTTACTTTTCAGCTACTTATTACTCTAACAGACTTTCATTGTTAACGTGAGATATTCAGCAAGTTTGATTAAATTTTCAAGTATGTATTAGTTAGAATATTGTCAGTTAAAGATAAAGTGAGTGTAAAAGTGTGAAAAGAGGACTTCAGGCAAACACAGAGAAGACAGAGGTGATGAAGGTAACCAGTCAACAGCAAATACAAACACCACCAACCACTACCAACGGGAAAACGTGAAAGAGGCCACTTCCTTCAATTATCCGGCCGGGAAGCACGGTTTCAACCACAAGCAGTCGGAACGGATGAAGATGTCAAAGCCAGCTAGCCAAAATCCGAAAGGCAAGATGCGCCTTCATCAACCTGAAACCAGTGTGGAAATCTTCTGCACTAACCCAGTAGAAATAAAAAGATTCGGGTTTTCGACACAGATGTTTGGTCAGTCAGTTCCTCTATGCGGGTCAGAAACTTGCGATGCTTGTCAGTCAAGAAAAGGATTTCCAACAAGTTACAGACTTTTATCAACAGCTGTCCTCTTCGCTGGCTCCATATTGAAGATCAAATGGCTGATCAGAAAGAATTAGCAACAAAAGCTCTGGGGAAAAAATAATTAAGAGCCGATCGCTCAACAAATATGTAGGAGAAAATGGAAATGGGTCTGGCACCTATAAGGCCGTCAAGTGACATCGCACGCCAGGCTGTCGAGTGGAATCCGAGTGGGAGGCGGCTAGTGGGTCGTTGGTGCGAGGGTGACATGGAGGAGATCGTGTGGGGAGGAGGATATGAGAGATTATTGGCAATCGTGGACCCAACTGAAGACGACAGTAGAAAATAGAAGACAGTGGAGATGTGTTGTTGAAGCTCTACATTCCACTCGAAACCCAAGGGAATAATAATTATAAAGGTGTGAATAGCCGTGAAACAAGTTATCATCGATAGATGAATAATTTAGGCTCAAATATGGAAACATCATTTGCTTAAAAGAACAACTGAATACTACTGATTTTGTAAGAAAAATGTAAATTATGAGCACTAACTTAGTAGTTTAGCTGAATCAGGATGGAAAGTATGAGAATAGATGAATTGATAACGTTTGGTATTTAGATTTTAGGTAGGATTTGTAAGATAATGACAATACATGGTAACTTCGTGCATTCAGACAAATATTTCGTGCAAAAGGATGTCAGTGTTGAACTAAATAAATTGTCTGTCAAGGTCTGTATGGTCCAAAATCATAGGAAACACCCGTAGAGCAAAATATGACTGTTCTCTTAACTGGTGCCCTTGTCTAAGATTCAGTCTTTATTGACAATCTTACAGTTATCTATACCCATGGCTGGAGGTTTTAAGAAACAGTAAACTAAACCAGAAATTTATGTTGTAACATATATGCTTCTAAAGTTTAGATGATTTGGTAGAAACAAGTATTAAATTGGGACAGGACGATCAACTGGTCCACTGGAAGCTCGCGATGAAAATGACTCAAGCATAGAATTCCCCAATTAGCACAAGGTTAAACTAGTTTAGGCACACATAATTTCAAAATAGTTAAAATTCATATTTAAACATTTAGAAATTCAAACGACTGAGCAAAGAAATTTTGACTTTCCAGTTTGATCCTTATCTAGGGTTCTACTGTAATGTACACAGCAGTTTCAATACCACAAAGAAATTTACCAATCTAAGGGCGACAAGTTTCGTAACAATAATCATTCAGTACCAGCATATCAGTTATTACCTAGTAAATCTATTGCAACGATTAGAGTGCATATTTTAGTGAAAATTAAATAAGTGGATTATATAATGGATAACAGGTGTGGATCTAATCGAAAGGCAAATATTTCTTAGCTCAGTCATTTTGTCCTATGCAGACCTCATCAACATCGGTTGGCAAACGTCTTTTATGGAATGTTCGGTGAATTTTTGAATTTTTCATCTTAGATGGTGACCGTTTGTTGAACAATTTACTTATTTCAAATGATTAAAAATCTGCAGATTTGATCACCAGCTGACATCAGGTAAAGAATCACTGAAAAACCAAAGAGTTCTAAATAGCTGTTTCTGATGTAGTTGTGTTCTATGAGCTGGATGGTTTATTTGCAAAGCTTTCATTGCCCTCTACTAGGCAACATCTTCAGCGCATAATTCAATTTGCTGGAGTGAGCTTTCAGGTTTCTCCACGAGTTTTAGTCACCTCTCCTGGTGACCTTGAATGTGATTGGTTATTTTGCGTGTTTTCACACCCTCTAGGCTACTTGCATTGGTATTGGGTTGATTATTTCCTTGACTCGAACTTTGACCCTTTGTGTGTGAGATTTCCTTCTTACCGTGTGGTAAATTTTGTCTATGTCGATGGGCCTACTGATTGAAGATTCACTGGAATACCAGAATTCTAAGGCTTCTTTGGCATTCTTGGTGTTTCCTCTGTCTAATATTTGAACGTTGGTTATCCCAGTCAAACTGATGTCCGTGGTTGTCTGTATGCAGCGAAATCAGCGAGTGGATTTCATGTCTTTTGACGGCTAGTTTGTGTTCATGGATAAGAAGACGAAGAGGACGTCGTCCACTTTGACCAATGCAGTGTTTTTCGCAGTCGTTGCAGCTCCTTCATATCGCTATTCACCATCCAGATCATAGAACATGACTACATCAAAATCATCCATCTGAGCTACAAATCTTCCATCTATAGCTGTTTCTTCTCAGCACTACGTACTCGCCTGTGTTTGAACCCAGGACCATAGGGCTACAAGGCGAATTTGTAGACCATTCAGCCACTAGGATATGATCGAGTGGCCTATAAATCCCAGCCTCCACCAGTTCGCGTTATCTACAGCGCAAACGCCAAACGCTATTGTTAACGACTAACTGCCCTCTCACCTGATTTGGTGGACTCTACTGGTCACGACTTCTCACCAGAACTCCAGCTTACTTCTTAAGTAGAGCCAGTGATCAAACCTGTGACCAACTAAATCCCTGCAAACCAAAGCTTGACTACAAATTTATCACAATATCATTTAGAATGATTTCAAAATAAGATAAGATGCAGCATAAGTGATTTGATATTTAACATTACAATTATAAGAAGTTTTTCACTCAGCTTACAAGAATATTTGGCGTAACTAAAGACTGGTATACCTTCGTGAATACACCTTTTGCTGTTACCCATGTACGATTGATAGTCCTGAGTGTATTATTACTGGAATAGCAAATATTTTGTGATTAGTTAAAATGTTTCATAAATTCATGTGATGTTAAAATCAAATTCACACGGGTGCCTCAATATGTTGCCTAAACTAAAACGTAAGAACTGGGATATATAAGGGTCAGTATTACAACTTGTATTGTGCTCATTCATTTACCGTTTCCAAGTTACATTTCACGGTTCACATATATTGTCTTAGATTAGATAAACCTGAGTAAATATAGCGGTATTATGGCACTAGATAAACAGGACTTCAGGATACTATTGCAATCCTAATCAGTGAATTACAATGGGGTAGAAATGTTGGTTCTGAAATTTCTTCCAAGCTTGTTGCGTAAGGAACAGATTTGTTTGTAAGGCTCCGAAATGGTTTAAAAGGCTTTGGCATTGGCGACGGAAACGCTAGTGCCTTCGTTATCCAGTCGTGTGCTCAATACGAAACACGTTTATGTCTTTGAATGAATGAAACAGCAGTTAAACGCTTCAATAAATAGCGAATTATGAGTTGCAACTCAAGAAGGCCTTTTTATCTCTTGTGATAGAGGTTGATTATTGGACTCCAAACTTTAAAGTTTCAGTTGCGGTGGCGTTCCTTTCAGGGATAAGATTGCTATCCCCCCTCAAACTTGCTCGTCCCTGGGACCTTCACCAGCTAATCAAGGCTTCGTAGTGCCCCGATCTAGAGTGGAACACGGGACTCTATCATGACTGGTAGTATTCTAAAATTGTACCACAGATGTAAACCACTCCTTTACCTTAACTAAACGATATACCAGTATTACATAACTCCTACAGTGTGTCAATAATACACAATCCTGAAGTATGAAGTCCTCTGATGATAGCTACACATCATTTACGTGGGATGACGGAAGATTAGGCATTTTTGTGTCATATATACAACCTGACTCAGGATCTCTGTTTTCGAAAATTTCCAAGGATATTCAACATTAAGTCACAAATTTACTAACATGTTTATTATAGACCAAAAGCCTTGAATTTTGAGTTACCTGGGAATAAAGAAACCGGATTTCGTATCAATCTTTATTGGCGTATCACTTTGCGAATCACGTGGTGTTCGTGGATTGCCATTTTCATCACGCATTAGAGCAAAATTTGCTGGTGTAAACCCCTAAAAGATAAGATGAAACTATGTATTTTTTATGAATATAGTTACGGGGTTTACAACTTAACACTCCTCTTTATTGAAGAGTATATTTCTTCTACTCAGCCGATATTTGGAATGCTAATACTTATTTGTGAGTGCAGACTTGTTATCCAATAGGAAATTTTTAAAGTCCATAAATTTTTTCATTAAGAAAGTGAAATCTATAAACAGACTAATTATATGTGTGAATGAGAAATCTGTGTCTCTGAGAACAAGTCCTGTTTAGTTAGCTTTCGCTATTATTAATATTATTCCTTTAGGTTCCGAGTGGAACATGATGCTTTAACAGCACATCTTCATTTCATCCTGATCCCCACAGTTGCCTTTATTTGGCCTCTAATCTTCTCACGCGATCTCCTCGATGACATACCCGGACCGAAGCCTGACTTTCCATTTCCCATTCGGGTTACACGAAAGAGCCTGTTTGGCTCATTACTTCACTTACAGTGCGTACAATCCATTTTCTTCGTGTATTTTTTTGGCATTAGGTTCTTGGTCGATTCATTGCCAGGATTTCTTGTTGCCACTTCTTTTTGGCTGACGAACGCAGCTGTTGATGCAGGTCTATAAGCTGTCTGAATTTCTTTCGATGATTTCCCCAAGTCTCTGAACCACATAAAAGAACCGACTTGACATTAGTGTTGAAGATATTTGTTGTTGTTCCTCATACTTAGTGCAATAGATTTCCACGCTGATTTCAGAATAATGAAGGTTTGTCTGGCTTTTCCGATCTTGACTTCAATAGTTGAAACGATGCCGCCTAGAATAGCAAGAGCAGTGTCTTCTTCAAACTCCTCCAGTTGATAATGACTGGTGATCGTTGTTGTTTTCATCATCTCCATCTTTTTTCTGTCTTCACTCGAAGTCCTGTTTTCGCGGCTTCTTCCACCTGCAGATCTTCGAGTTTTTGTGACCTTAGACATAAATAATCGATGAAGTCCAAATCTTCTCAGGTCTTCCTTATTTTTCTGACGTATTCCTGTATTTTTACTACCCATGGTCTGTAGTATGATCCAGTCCTCTACACTAAGAAATATCAATATTGACAGTAGGGAGTGTTGCATTACTTCTGTTAGCGTTCAGAGTTCACGCGATTTCTACAGTATCATTTATTGCTGTTTTTGTGGCTCTTTTTTGCACCTTCAGTATGTTTGTCAACATTTGTAGAGAGAAGATGAATACTTCGATCTAATAAAATTCGAATACTCATAGATGATAAGTTATGTTTTATTTATACTTTTAAAAGACAATATGGTGCGTCGGTGGCACAGCGGTAGAGTGCTCGCCGACCACAGATGTGGTCCGGGGTTCGATCCCCGGCCGACGCACTCCCAAATCTCGGTAAGCCAGTAATGACTGGTAACGAGGGAAGGTTGGGCATGAGGCTAGCAACCCCATCTTGTAAAAATAATCACCACTGCTACAGAAACTTCAAGTCTGTAGCTTGAAGTCCTATATTCCACTGAGAACGTAAAGGATTAAACAAAGACAATATGGATTATTTTTAGAGTGCCATTCTGAAAATCTGGAACATTGTTCTCCAGATATACCTCCCACACCATTCAGGTATCTCGAAATAATCACAAGTATTTAAAGTAAGCCTAGATAATAGTCAAACATCTTCCGACTTTGTAATATTACCTTAACAACTGATAATGTATTTTAACGGCAAATGGAGCGACTAAGTTTTCTAAATACCTCTTTGTGCGACTGTTTGATTGAGATGAGTAGTTGTATGGAATCATATCAACGAGTTGTACACCGATGATGAGCTCAGCCCTTAGCGGGCGAAAAAGCCTTCCGATGTTCAGGTCACTCTGACCTGGCTAGCAAGCACATGCTGTGACCTGAATAACTTGGTTTTCAGAGGAAACTGTGTACATTGTGAATTGCTAACTAATTTAAAAACTGTGGATTTGATTTAGTAGTGTATTTCTGCCGTAATTATGGCTTGCAGATTGAAACATTTCTGTTTATTTCATTCATAAATTCGCTTCATTTGGTCAGCTTTCAAAGAGGTGACAAATGTTCGACATTATATGTTCTAATCCAATTGTATTTAAAGTTTAAGTTTACTGATTTCAGTGTTTTCATTTTCTCATAGATAACTTGATTATATAAGAAATTGAAGAAAGTATTTTCTGTATTCGACAAACTTTGTCTTTTCCCACATTTTCACTAGAAAGGTTTTTTTCGGTATTGAATGCTGATCAGCATTAGACTTTCATTTGGGAGCTGTCCCAGACATTTTCATCAACCTATAAATCACTATTTGACATGTAAAGGCATCATATACAACAGTCATTATTATAATTACTCCCTTGCGTTCTGAGTAGAACGTAGATCCTCAGTTACGTGTAGACATTTGGCTCTGTTCCCTGCAGTCTATTTCCAAGGCTGATTGTAAGCTTTCACTTACTGCTTACACGATCACCTTCATGTCACTCTAGGAAGTCCAGATCATCGTTTCCTATTCCGGTTTCTCTTTATGGTCTGCTTGGCACATGATGTCATTCAAATGTCTTCTCAGTGTATTTCAAACACATGATACGATCAACAAAAATGAACATCTGTGTTGAATATGAAGAAAGCGTTTATGAAACCAACCACATTTTCTCAAAGTCGACATTTTAGAAAATAACTTCTACGAAAATCAATGCGTCACCATGATGATGTCTGCATCTATAGATATCAGTCTTTATACCATCAAAGTTGAATACTTCTATCTGTTAGATGGCTTTTTATAGTGCTACATGTTTAAGGATGACTTTCAAAAAATCCTGAATTCAACTTTTGTCCCAAATGACAATCCTAACTCTAAGATGCAGACGCATGCTAAATAATTTCGCAGATATTACTAGATATTTCAACAAAGTTGAATTTGCCCAAAAAGGATAAGCAAAAAGGTACTCTGACAGCGAACCAACCAAGAACCAATCATCCTACAAATATACCGAAGGAAGTAGAGATACGTCTGACACACACTGAGACGGCTGTTGGTTGACGTCGTGATCCAGGCCGTCGAGCGGAATCCAAGAATGGAATGGGGGAGAACATATCTTAAGAACAATCGTACGGCCAGCTAAGGAGGGCTACAGAAGACAACATGAAGTGAAAATGCGCTGCTGAGGCCCTTTTTCACTTGGAACCCAGAGGGACAGTAAAAATGACGAAAATAACAATACAGTAGATGCACTGACTGGTCATCAGAAAGTAGTGTCATTTTGTCAAGCCTTATATGATGACCAAGTTCTGTCGAACTAATTAGATATTAATCAACCACGAAACATTAACCATTACTTCTTGTATACCGCCTTAAACCACCTGTCAGATAATTAGTTACTGAAGTTGTAAACGACGCATCGAATTTAAGGTGAATCTACTTTATAACTTACTAGAGCATGGGCAATTTCATGGGTTGCTGTTGAAGCCATCAACGGAATATCCAAGTTAGCAGCATTCAGCTTATCAGGGCAAAAGTTGATAATTCCGATTATTGGTCTAAATATGGATAAATGTGGTGATTATGTAATCGGATTATTAGGCATTTTATGTGACAAAAGAACATATAAACCTTTGATTATAATGCTTTAACAAAGGCCTTCAGAAATAGATGTATTTATATACATTCACTGTGCAGTGATGTTTCATGTCATTCTCAATAATTTAAATAGGAAGTTGCTTGGTTTTATCACATACTGATGACAGAATTCTGATGTCTGAGAGTAAGTAATATGAAGGCTAGTTGTCTAACTGATATCAAATTAAATACGGCCTCTTTCGTATTTTGAAATGATCACTATTTCCTTTTTCACACAGAGTAGCAATGAACTCCTGTAACCAATCAACCAAATCCCTACAAACCAACACTTGAATATCAATGAGATGCTCACTAGTGACTTGACTCATTCAGGTAGGTAGTTATCTGGGGTTCTAGTGAGAAGTCGTGATCAGTAGGGTGCAGCAGGTCGGGCGTGAGGACAAATACTCGCCGAAGACATTGGCTAGGGGTGGCGCTATGTCGTGAATTGGCAGAAGTTAGAATTCATGGACCATTGGATCGGGTCCCGGTGGCTTAATGGTATACGAGCTCGCCTTGTAACCAGAAGGTCCTGGGTTCGAATCCCGGTGGGTTCGTACTGCTGAAGAATCCCAAACTAGGACGAAACAGCTGTCCAGTACTCCCAGGTTTTCCAATGGTTCTCTAACTAATGTCAGCTCATGATGAAATCCTGTAACCAATCAACCAAATCCCTACAAACCAACATTTGAACTCAATGTAAATTTGAGCGTTTGGTATAAACTGGGTCATAAATAGGAGCACAAAACGTTAAATAATTATTAAAACAGAGCTCAGTGAGCTTTGATTCAGAAGAGATATAATCAGCTCACACAATATTTGAAATCTCGCTTTAATAATAACAATAATTTGCTTTATTCCGGAACAGTACTTATGTTACAGTGTGGAATTTGTAGCATTTGGTACAATATTGCATCTGAATTTACCAAATAACATTTAAAAACAATTATAAAATAATATTACATGATTGCTAGTGGCGGTCCTTATTTGGTATTTGTAGTGAAAGTAAAATGATAAACATACAAAACATTTCAAAATGATGATAATAATGCTACCAGTCAAACTTGTCAGTTAACTGAGATAGTGTCACCATAGATTGGAAAATAGCAGATAATGAAAGAGCCGATTATTTTGCTAACAACATAGTAATTCATAGATATCGTGCTTAACGTTGTCTCTGTTGCACAGAATACAGGCCAAATATGGCATGTTTGAGTTCCTACACTTGGTAGTACTAGCATATAATTGTTTTGTACTGATTTCTAGTTCTACCAGTTGAGATATAAGGGGAGAGTTGAGAAGAAAGGGGGGTGTTGGGGGTCAGACAACATAGATTTAGACCATTTCTCGCATGAGTTTAGATGCTTATCAACTAATATAGTGACAAGCTGACTAACTTGAACACCGATTTCCCCTGCTAACAACCTTTGATAACCTTCTCAAAATGACATAGTCCTTTTTCAGTAGCCCAGGAAAGACTAAGAGGGAGCAGTAAAGTACACTGGGTGAGATACAAGAGTTAAAAAGTCGTGAAAGTAGAGGTTAAGTGATCCCGAATTGTCTTAGCCTCTTGATGTAGTAGCTAAGACAGAACATCTTCTTGAAGATCGACAAAATGTGGGATGACCAAGTTTCATATCCAACTTACAGGATCTCTTCCGTGTCACTCTCAAACTCTTAGCTCATGGTTCTCACTTTGGGTTCTATTCCACGGCCTGATTCGTTATGTTATTCAAAGGTCTTCCTTGAGTTCTACACTCTGTTTCTTTTTGACTCTTTTGAGGGAGATGGAAAAACATTATTCACTAGGAAATTATCCGGAACATTTGCCTGTAGTCTTACCACTCGTATATTACTCAGCAAACGTGCAATTTAATGTGTATTACTAATAAAGGTTATGATTATATTGATTGAGGCAAAAACTTAGTTTCTAGAGTATTAAGTAATCATTTTATGTGGAAGATAAATTTCGTATTTACCATTTCATTTTGATACAAGTGTCATCATAACAGTCGACGCCTTCAAGAATACAGGGTAAAAAACAATATTTCCGAAAACTGTACTAACCTATCTGTAGATGGATGTAATTGACACGGTGCTGCATAAGCTATTGTCCCACCGCCACAATTTGAAGTATTCGAACTGTCAACAATTATGATATAAGCGTTAGGCAACACTCCTGTACCATCCTCGTGTACAGTATATACATTTCCTTCCTGATTTCGCATTTTACATCCCTTTATTTGTAATAATAATAATAAAAAGTAAATCGTATTAGTCTTTCGTCATTAATACTATATGTGTAAAGAGAATATGAATATATGACTGCAAGCCATTTTAGAGAAACCAGAAGAAATGTCTCACATATATGAATAATGAATTGAGTTCATTTCGACGTTCAGATTTCTCACTAAATGACTGCATATGGGTCATAACTATATTACACAATCTGTTGATAAAGGTAACAATTAAAACGGAATGAGAAAATGTAAGCCAACTTGTTTGTCAGAGAATTTATGCCCTAGGGTATTGTATTTCCATGGGTTATGGTTCCAACATACAATATATGCATGCATCCGTTTCAGATCCCTTTTCATAAGTATCGTAAATGTACATAAGTTGTTAAATGCTTATTCGGTAATGGACAGACATAACCTTGATCTTAAAAGATTAGTTCATCGCTGAGGGCGTAAGTGGAGCACAGGTAGAATGCTCGCCAGCCGCACACGTATTTTGGCTTTCGATACCCTGCCGACGCACCTCTTTACCTCGCTTAGCCGGTATAAGCCCTGAAAAGTGGGAAAGTTCAGTGAGAGACTAGCAACCCCATTTCGTAAAATTAACACCACTGCTACCGAAAATTCAAAACACTACGTTCCACTGGGAACAATATGCATGTAAATGTAATATAGGCCATTTTGAAAGTTAGTGAATAGCAGTTGAATCCTCGATACGCATTTAGTGTTATTTGGGACTCGTCATCTAAATGTACCTACATTCCCAGTGAGATACAAACGAACGCTGGTGAAAACGCTTTTCTCTAGAGCGAAGAGATTATGTTCACCAAACAAACTAGACAGTGAACTAATGCTTCTTGAAAAATGCTTGAAAGAAAATGGTTACTCACAAAGTTTTATTTACCAATATGGCAAGAATGAACTCAAGAATCTTGATACAGCTACAGTCAGTAAGAAGCCTATTTTCATCAAACTCGACTACAAGGGCGAAGCCATAAGGAGAATGGTAAATAAAAGATTAATCGCAGTCCTGTCTAGGACGACGCATCTGCAGCATTATTAGTCTCTCTATCCCGAACAACCTCCTCACTGGTGCAGTCAGAGATTGACAAGTACCCCTCACATGTTACCTCCAACTGTGTATACCAACTCACATGTATCTGCGAGAGCAGTTACACTGGACGAACAGAGAGGAGAGCCTACTTCAGATTCTGCGAACATGCACTAAGGAGCCTCCGGTTAAAGGGACCGAATTGTTTAAGCTTTCAATCACCAAACATCTGACTGACACAGGACACCAAGTAGATGTGCTGGAATCATTCAAAATAATTAACAGACAAAGTACCTCAAGTCTTCTCAAGTTTGCTGAAGCTATAGCGATAAAACAATTGAAGCCTGACTTATGTGTCCAACAAGAATCCGTCGTTGGACTTCAATTACCCTGGTGACTCACGTCTAAGTAACTCTTTGTTCCCTAATTTTGTTAATTTTGTTAACTTATTTTTACACTCCACTGCTCCCTTTATTTTTCGCTTGACTCTCTTAAGAGATAATTCTTCTTGATCTTCTGAGTTCTGCTCACTATATTACATCATCACCTTCTCATCTGACCCCATGTACGCCGAAATTTAAAAAAATTTGATCTTCTCTTACCTAATTACGTAACCATTACTAATTTTCTTTTGTTACACCCCAATAGCACAACTGTTAATTAATTTTTTTCAAGAAACTTCTCTCTAACAAGACATATATTTATGTCGTAGCACTTTAGACACCTTGTAAATCGCAACGCCTTATTTCACAATGACTCTCTGACAATATGCTTGCCAATGGACAAAAGTTTGTTTAAATTGTACACTTTTTTATTTTATTAAAGAATTCAGGTTGTATGCAGCTGATGAGAATCAACGAAATAAAATGGATCCAGATTATTCTACGCTGATGTTTCTTCCTTCTTTGTTCAAATTAATAAAAGGGGATCATTGTATGAAATTCCTCAGTAAGTTGTAACGCCCGTTGAATCAGAAGAAATGCGCATGTGTTGATCAACTAATTCATGACACAGCTCGACCCCACCTTCCGGCCTTTCGACAATACATTACAAAAGCTGAATACGCTTTTGTCTAACTACTATGCGACAGAAGTTACTTTCCTCTATGCCTCGCTGCATATACACAATCTATCTGCACATCTAAAAGGACTGACTGACTAACTGGTCACCTAGATTTTTATATGAGCACTTGAATAACTTTGGTTGTTATTATTATTACCACTTTGATTGTTATTCGCTGATATGAATACCTGAACCTTAATTATATTAATCCCAATAGTATCAACTCTCTATACTTAATAATTTTGATATGTAAACGTAAAGCATGAAGGGATAATGTATCTAGTAATGACCTGAATTGGCTAGTTAATATGGATATTTTCCAAAAGCGATTTACCACAAATCGTTTGACGTTTTCGGAGTTTTTAGCATTTTATTGCGGGCATCTAACCCCTTAACTTGGTGACACACACGTTCGGCACTAAATTAATTTCCACTAATTCATTATAAATTATTTAAATTAATCCCAGCGTGTTAAGAAAATCAAAACAAGATTTTTCTGAACGTTTCTCTGTGTAAGCCACAGCTTCTTCAGCAGATAAATCTGCTAGGCATTTGCTGAAGAAGCTGTGGCTTACACAGAGAAACGTTCAGAAAAATCTTGTTTTGATTTTCTTAACACGCTGGGATTAATTTAAATAATTTATAATGAATCAATCTGACTCGGCACTAAAATTATTCCAGGAAGTTCGTAACACCTACGGCCTGGAAACCTATAATTTCCACTGAGTCTGCTAGGAAACTTAACTGAAAATAATTTGATAAATTAATGATTTTACTAAACAGATTTGAGATTTAAAGTAAATAATAAAGATACTGAAATTTATAGAGTAAAACCTCAACTATATTACTTACTGAAAGATATTCCTTTGGTACATCATAGTCATAACATTTGACTGTATCTTTGCATCCGTTTGGGCAGTATGCTACTCCTGTCGCTTCATCCGTAGCAGTAGGTTGTCCTTCACAGGGTCTGTGAATTTAGCAATAGTGAACAAAGAGATAAAATGCCGAGCGAAATACTGGTACAATCATATTTTCTACATTTTAGTGGTACTAATTAATACCTTATTAAATGATGAAGCGATTATTCAAAAGACTCGTTTCCTGATAAATAAAAAAAAACCACTTTCTGTTTCAGGTTTATTGTGGGTAGGATTGCGGGAGTTGGGAGGGCATCTCTGTTCTCGTCAGACCTCCGTGGTTTATTAAAGAAGTCTTTGTCATTTTTCTGGGCATCATTTCACTGTTCCCAAGATTAGTGTTTCTGATTAACACTTTGTATATTTTATTCATGAAATGAAGTTACGCTTACGCTTAATGTACAAAAGCCAATATTTCAATACCAATTCTTAAATTTAATAATTTCAACAGCTTGTAGGAACAATACATTCCTAGAATGTATGGGTTACCTATGATCCACTAACCCAACTTTTCTATACGTCCAATAATTCACCAGATCACAAAGTAGCAAGATGGTTGACAGACGCACTTATAACCAGTGAATTTGAAAGTGGCTAAGTATATCCTGGAGGACAGCGTGAGATTTAAAGAAAACGTGACACATAAGAATATTGACAACAAAGCGATGATTTCCATAAACGTCACTCCTCTATTTCCTGAAGTCTTTTCATTAGAGATCATTGATTTCATCTGTAATTTGCTGGTACAATCAGGTATAACAACGAAAACAACACCAAAACTGATACTTTGTTGTAAAGCAGAGGTATAGTTTCAGCTAAACAACAAAAGGTATCAACAGGTCGAGCCTGTGGCCAATGGCTTTGTCTTTAGTTTTCTTTTAGCCAAGATGTTTATGGTGAAATTAAAAAGTGATTCAATTAAAAATACAGTCTTCAAGTGTTGGTTTGTAGGGATTTGATTGGTTATAGGATTTTCATCATGAGCTGACATTAGTCATTGAATATCAATGAGATGCTCACTAGCGACTTGCCTTATTCAGGGAGGTAGATTCCTGAGGTTCTAATGAGAAGTCGTGATCAGTAGAGTGCAGCAGGTCGGGTGTGAGGACAAATACTCGCCGAAAATATTGGCTAGGCGTCGCGCTGTGTCGTGAATTGGCAGAAGTTGGAATTCATTGACAGGTCATTGGATCGGGTCCCAGTGGCTTAATGGTCTACGAGCTAGCTCACCTTGTAACCAGAAGGTCCTGGGTTCGAATCCCGGTGGGTGCGTACTGATGAAGAGTCCCAAACTAGGACGAAACAGCTGTCCAGTACTCCCAGATTTTCCAGTGGTTCTCTAACTAATGCCAGCTCATGATGAAAATCCTATAAAATACAATCAACAACAGCCCCGCTACTGAAAACATATGAAAGATCCTTGCGTAAAAATTAAATCACTACTGAGGTTCTTCTCAAAACTTTCAGTATGGTTAATCCAAAAATTGAGTTCGCATATGAAAGAACGATAATTCATTAGTTCTCAAAATTCTTCACAAAGAAGATTAGATGGCACTACTAGGCTGGGTAGTTTCCATAAGACGTTATCAGTTGGCTAATATATCTGTTTCATATAGTTTATTCATATTGCATACAAATGAAATCTCATTAGTACTCTGATGCTTCGTGCTATAAAAATCTGCACAACAAATGCTGTGGACGATGATGTAACAAAAACAGAAAACTCATTGTATGAATCGGGTATTCAAAAAAACTTGTGAAAGTTTCATCGAACAAAGCAAAATCTGAGGTCAAACCTCTATCTCAACTTCATCAACTTCGAGGAGGCCTTTGACAGACATTGTTGACCGAGAGACTTTATTTGGAAACTGCTTTAACACTACAGCGTGCAATGCCCAACAACGGAAAACTCAGCGAGTTGTTCTAAGTGAATACAGTAGTGAGACAAGGCTAGCTTCCTATTAGCACCGATGACATTCTTAATTGTGGTGGGCTAGATTATGTGCCAGACTGTGCATTGGGAGTTAGCAGACAGGAATACTCTGGACCACCGATAAGAAGCCTTTAAAAGATCTCGATTTTGCGCTTGGATGATTTATGTTCAGTGTAACACAAACTCGAAGAATTAGATGTGAAAATAAACAGGTTGGCAGAAGAAACAAGCAGCAAAGACAGAAGTGCAGGTTAACACAGAGAATGCAGAGCTGATGAAGATAACCAACCAACAGCAACAACAACAACATCAAACGGCACCTATCACCAAAAACGGGGGAGATTTGAAAGAGGTCATTTCTTTCGCTTATCTGGCCTGGGAGCACGGTTTCAACCACAGGCACTCGGAACGGATGATGTCAAAGGCAGTCAGAGTCGTAAAGGCAAGATACGCCTTCATCAACCTGAAACAAGTTTGGAAATCTTTTGTACTAACTCAGTGTAAATAACAAGATTCGGATTTTCAACACAAATATGAAGTCATTCAGTCTTTTTATACGGGTCAGAAACCTGTACTGCGTATCACGAAAAGGGTCAAATGACCGGTGAGAAAAAAATCAGCAAAGAGAAACTCTCTCTGGGAACCAGCCAACCAACAGCTGATTGCTCAACAGTTATGTAGGAGAAAATGGAGGTGGATTAGGCACACATTGAGGGGACCGTCAAATAACATCGCGCAATGCAGGCTACCACTCGAGTGAAATCCCAATAGAAAGGGACGAATAGGTCGTTGGTGACATGAGGGAGATCGTGTAGCGAGTAGGAAATGGGAAATTATGGTAAATCGTGGACCCAGATGAAGAAGATAGCAGAAAATAGAACACACCCACATCCACGCCCACACCCAGTGCTCCAAAAAGACTTCTCTATATGAACCTACAGTTCAATGGAGACCAATCTACAGAAATACTGAGATATCGGCTCTCCTGCTCATTGAAGAAAACCTTCTTTGCAACTGAATTACTACTGACGTTCTCCACGAGACCAATGATTCGTATGAACGTGAAGGATAAGCTACCGCTGTTGGCCTCATCTATATGCATCTACCAATTCACCTGCTCGTGTGGAGCCAGGTATATCGGCCGTACACAGCGTTCGCTATCCAAACGCGTCAACGAACATTTACATTCATGGCTTTATAAAGGAGAAAACCGATACCCCCGCGGCTCGATCCTTGAACATTTGATCGACTCTGGACACCAAGTCAAACCAGAAATAAACTTCAAAGTTATCTACAGAATACAAGGCAATCTTGCTAAAAGTGTACGGATCAAACTTCTCCACATCGCAGAAGCAATGGCAATTCATCTGCTAAATCCTGAACTCTGCATACAAAAGAAATTCGTTCACTCATTAAATCTACAATGGACGTAATCTTTCTTAATTTCAGTCTTACTAATTGTATTATTTTGTCTTTTGCATTTTATTATTTCACATCTTCATTTATATTATTCTCTACCCCAATCTTTTGTAATCCCTACCCTCATTAACAATGTTACTAACTTGACCCATGTCCAATTTCTAGTCAATTGTGTTACGTCATCCGATTAACTTACTTATTTTCAACTGTATTATTCTCTAACCCCACCCTCATTTGATTTTAAACACCACTCATTAACATTGTTGCCAACCTGACCTACTCTGAATTCTACTAAACTGTATTACGTCATCCAATTCACTTAATGAATTCTATTTTATTTTCCATCTTAACGTTTGTCTCCAAGCCAAAAAATACTTATATTATATAATTATCTCAACTTTATAAATCTAATGTACACAAACACAAACAAAATTGTATAAATATGCGATTGTACGGCTCAGTTAATGCAGTCGCCGAAAAGAGTCTCTTCGCTGAACACCTTCTTTTCTTTTATAAGACTGAATGGGGATTTTCAAGTTAATTGTATATGTGTTGTTCCACTCAGGACCCAAGGAAACAATGACACTTATAGTTGTATAAAAAAGGTTTTAGAGTTTAAGAAAATTCCATCTTAAATGTATTCACCATCAAATAGTCTACTGTGAAACAATAATACGTTTTGGAGGTGCATTCTAAGCATCAATCATTGATTAAAGCCACCATAGACAGAACTGATTTTGGCAGTCATGTTGCTTCATTGTACTTATATTTGTGCAACATATGCAGAGATATTTTCACTATCTTTGTCTTCAAAATGTTACCATTTTAAACAACAAACTACTAATACATCAATTAAATAACTGACATGAGCGATACTCATTTTTGTTGTGGTTCCATTGGAAACTTGAAAGAAATTCTAAACATACGCTGAATTTATGAGGGAATTGAAAGAATACTTCATACTGTTAAATGGCAGTTTTATAATATTGTATAAATGTATCAGTTTTGAAAATTACCTATAAATAAGTATGTGTTCACCAGACTTGTCTTTTACCTTCAGAGCATTTTCCCAAAAATTCAACGCCTTGTTGACCACATTTTTCTATAATAATAATAATAATAATTTGCTTTATTCCAAAAACAGTATTAATGATACAGCAAGGAATTTTCAGCATTCAGTACAATATTGCATCTAATTTACTCAAAAACGACGACAACAAAAAATAAATAAACGAAATAATTAATACATAATAATGATAACAAAACGTTTTTATAGCAGCTGTGTAGCAATTACAGTATACGATAAGGAGAAAAATACGCATAAAGTATAAAATTATAGTAATAATAGTAATAACAACTAAAATAAAAATAGCAAAGTTATAATTAAACGATAGAAAGGTTGACACCATAGAATTACAGAAAGATGAACAATGAAGTGTCGATTCACTATGCTAATTACATAGTAACTTATATGTTTCACGTCTAACAGAGTCTTCATCACATAAAATACGGGCTGAATACGGTATTGTAGAATTTTTGTACTTAGTGGTTTGAGCATATAACTTTTTATATTGACTTCTCGTCCTACCTGATGAGATACAAGGGGATAGTTGTGAATAAAGGGGGTGCAGAGGGTCTGACAGTACGGCCTTTGCCCATTTTGTACAGGAATTTACGTGTCTCTCGACTATAGTATTGGCGAGCTCACGCAGTGGCAAACCACAAGCCCTACTCACAGCATTTAATACCCTTCGTAATATGACATAGTCTTTTTTAAGAAGCCCAGGAAAGATTAATGGAGAACAATAGAGTACAATAGGTAAAATAAAGGAGTTTAAAAATTGCAGAACTAAAGGTTGGTTGATACCTGATTGTCTTAACTTTTTAATGTAGAAGGTAAGACGAAACATTTTCTTAGAGATTAATAAGATGTGGGATGACCATGAAAGGTCCGAGGAAAGAACTAATCCAAGGTGTTTAATGCTTGACTTGGTTTCAGTTTCTGTGCCATCTATGCTACAGGCATCATGGTAACTAACTAGTTCATGTATGTCACGTCGATGCTTGAAATTAAAGTTAACTGCCTGACATTTGGAAGGATTTAACATAAGACCATTTGACTTAGACCACTTGCTGATGTCCAACAGAAAGCTATTAAGTTTGAAGCAGTCAGACTCGGAAGTGATAGGCAGTGATACAGTCAGATCATCAGCATATTTGACAAAATTAGTTTCGTTTAAATGTGGCAGGTCGTGTAGGAAGAAAGAAAAAAGAAAAGGATAGAGGACGGCACCTTGAGGAACACCGGCTTTTGTAAGCAAAGCAGAAGATTTGCCATTATATGCAGTACACTGCATTCTATCAGAAAAATAAGAATGCAACCAACTCTCAGCCCAGGATGCTGTGTGCGTCAAGGAGAGCTTATTTAATAAAAATTAATCAACACTGGTTTTGGAGTTTGATAACAGTTTAAACTGTAAACCTCGTTAGAGAAGACATGAAATGAAATGTTTCTCTTGGACGAATAGATCTATAGAGGCACAGAGAGATGCAATGATCCTAAGTTTGTTAACGTATTGATTTATGAGGGGATACCGTGACTAGACGTTGAAACTGATCATTGTGCCCTAACTGTCATTCATTTTGATATGTGACGACGCTAATCATTCGAAAATCTAATAAATGTGGCATGATGTTATGAAAATAATTTTCGTCTCCTTCTTCAAACCAAAAATGAAACTGTAACTGTAAGCGCGTCAATTGGTGGAACTTTCAGGGTAGACAGGTGGAATTGATGCATACGACAGACATATTAAGGATAAACTGGCTACTTTATTGTCTGACAATTAAGTACAGCTGCATTAATCCTATATCAATGAGTACCCTAAAAGTCTGACAGTCGAACATTTACTTCATTATCCTCACATCCAGCTGATTTCATTCTTAACCTTTGACGATTTTAAGATTTACATTTATTCTAGCATAACACAAAAACTTGCATCTTCTGGGCTCGATGCGCAACTAACTTACTCCGAAACCTCACTTAGCTGGTTGTTTGCCCTGTAAAAAGGTAGGGTTGAGTTTAAAGCCCGTAACCCGATACTGTAAAATAAAAGCCGCTGTTGAAAGTGCAAAGCCTAAGCTCGAAGCGGTATGTTCCACTCGGAATAAAAAACAAATTTCCATGATGGTAATCTAATGATTCTTCTCAATTATGAGTTTGAGACATTCATTTTGAAGTACATATCCCACAAACACACTAACCAAACTTAACACTTTTACCCACGAAAGATACTGTATATAACTTACTTCGAATTGTGTAAAATTTCCCATAGATTTCAGTTGCACTGTGTAATATGCATGAAATTTTAACTCATTACTGGATGTTTGACGTTTTTCAACACTTTGTGAAACGATAGCATACGTCTATGGATAGTGTTTATAGGTAATTAATGATGCAGCCGTAATTTAGAGATGCTTACCATTTTAATATCTTGTAGTGTCCGACAGACATGTTCACTGCTGATACATAATGTTAACAAATGTAGTAAGAATATTATTCTTTTGACCATAAAAAGATAATCATTATGAGAAAACAGGAAATCCATTAATAGTTCACAGCCTGTTTCTGCTTCCTTTTTATACAAAATATCATTTGCACACTTTCTAGTTACTTATTAGAAGAAAGGAAGGGGGTGAGCAGTAGTAGTGAATTGTGCCATATTTTTCTTTCTCAGAGACTAACACTGGATGATAGCAAAATCACGTGTATTACAAAAAATAGAATAATTTAAATAGATATGGAATAGTTTTTGTGAAAAAATATATTTACTACTGATAGACTGACATGAGTAGTTGTACATCATTCACATGAGGCCTAACAGACACATAAAAATGATCCAAACACTGGATAGTAGCTTCGCTTTTTCGGATCAGAGCTCATCATCGGTGAACCTAGTCTAGCCTAGCTAAAGCAGTCAAATTAGGCTGAACTATTCGATTTTTGGCTAGCCACTATAGCAAACTGGTAACAACCCAAATCAAATTATTTTTTTTTTATTTTTATTTTTGATTTACATCTTGATTCCACACCGTATTTTCAGTACAAGTATGGAATTTTCAGCATGGATATCGGTAGCCCAAATTCAGGCCGACCATAGATATCGAGTGTGCGCCGGCAGGGGATCGAACCTCGGACCATGTGCATGGTCGGCGAGAGTCCTAACCACTGTGCCACCGACGCACAAATAGTTCAGCGAAGAGTCTCTTTTCAACGGCGAATTCATTTTCATAACTGTACAATCGCAAATATATATGGTTGTTTTGTATGTGTATGTGTGTACATTAAATTTGCCAAACGAAAATACAATTAATAAGTTCAGGTGAATTAAGTGTTGATTTAAGAGGGTAGTAACAAAAGTGATGAGTTGTCACAAACGATTGTTGAAGAAGAGTTACGTGATAACATGAATAGTTTGATGAAAGAGTTGTACTCAGGATGTACATGGAAACAAAATAACATACGGAATTACACAAGGGTTTTAAGTAGAAAAATAAGCATACAAACAAAAGTTAAGTCAAATCAACAGAGTTGTTACCATGAGAGTAGAAGTAGTTGAATAATTTTCTTTTGTATGCATAGTTCTTGTTCCTCCAGCTGAATGGCTAGGGCTTCTGCGATGCAAAGAAGACGGAATCTTACTGTCTTTGGTAGGTTCTTCTTCACTTTGTAGATTACTTTGAAGCATGAGGCGTTTGTTGAGATGGAATGACCAGTGTTGACGAGTTGTTTTATTATTGCACTCATTATGCAGCCACGCTGGACAGTGCTCTTTGACCCTTTTTGACAGAATGCGCGTTGAACGACCGATGTACCTGGCTCCACAGCAACAGGTGAACTGATATATACACATAGAAGTGGTCAGGTGCGGGATCTTGTCCTTTGAGCTTCTGCAGATCAGCGGGTGTCTGGAGAACACTACTCTCAATGTTACTGCAAAGAAACTTCTTCTTAAAGAGGTGGAGATTCTCCTTCTTAGGACGCCACTAGGTGTGTCTCCTTTGAAGTCGAGGTTCATATAAAGTATTTTTTGGTACGGATGCTGTCTCTTGCTTTTGGATATTTTTTTGATGTTTTTGTATACGAATCTTGATGGGTAACCGTTTTGTATGAAGGTTTCTTTCAGGAAGTTTAGTTCTTCTTCCATGGTATGAGAGCTGAAGATGCGTCGGACACGAGTGGCAAGTGATCTAATTAGGATTCTTTTCTGACTGATTGGTACCCAGCTGTAGAAGCTTGTCAGTTGGCCGTTCCATGTGGGTTTCAAGTGGATGGACCTTCTTAATGTTCCGTCAGCTCTCCTTGTAAGTTCGACATCAAGAAAAGCGATTTTAGATTCATTTTCAATTTCGAGAGTGAACTTTGTGGCTGGATGGCGTTTGTTGAACATTTGCAGTAACTGATTGAGATCGTGACCGTCATCACAGATAATAAAGATGTCGTCCACATATCTAAAATACAGTTGAAAATTATCAATAGTTGATTTGAGTGGGCCGTTCTCGAGGCTTGCCATGAAGCAGTAATGGGCCCAATGGAGATGCCATTGCGATTCCATCTTGTTTTCTGTAAATAACCTCATTGAATGTGAATTGTACATTGAGTGTACATCTCAGTAGTAGTTCTTTCAAACAAGTCGTCGGTATTGCAATGTTCAGCTGATTTTCTTCTATGTATTGACAAATGTGACAGACAGTTTCTGTGAGTGGAACGTTGGTAAAAAAAATCAGATTGATGACAGCTACGGAACCATTGAAGACCAGGGATTATTGGACAGCTGTTTCATCCACCACAGGGGGTTCGAACATAAAACCTTCCGGTTACATGGCAAGCTCGTATACCATTCAGCCACTAGGACCCGATTTAATGGCCAACCCATTAATTCTAACTTCTATAAATTCGTGGTTTTAGCGCGACCACCAACCAATGTCATTGGTGGGAAATCCATCCTCACTCCCCACTGGATGGGCCCCATTGGTCACGACTTGTCATTATAACTTCAGGAAACCCCATCCTGTAGCAAGTCACTAACGAGCAACAGCACGAGAAGAGTTTCTTCGCTGAACGTCTCTTTTTCATAACCCTCAAGAAGTTCTAGACTTCGCTGGTGGTTTACTTGTAACGTCACACAAAACTGAAGATCTAGAGGCGTAAACCAACAAGCTGATAGAAGAGGCTGACAACGAAGATATGACTACGAAGTAACATTAAGAAGACATTAGCGATGAAGATACTCGATTGCTAATAACAAACACAACACCAATAACATCAAACATCAATAATGAAAAGTATTTGCAAGAGGCCGCTAACTTTCATCAACAGCAGGCTGCACTCGATGGTGAAAATTAGATGGCCATTTCAGAAAGGATAGGCGACGAGAAACTCTTGCAACGGGCCAACTAAGAACCTGTTTCTCAATAAAGTTGAAGAAGTAAATGGAAATGGATCAGCCACATGCTGAAGAGACCGCTGACTGACATTACATGCTTATCTCTCAATTGGGACTCGAATAGGAAGGAAGCGAAGGGTTAAATTTCGGTCCTAAAGTGAAATGGAGCAGAATGTGTTAGGTGTGAATGAAAGCTACCCAGCTAAAGGGGGCTACGAGAACTAGAATGAAATGAAGATGTGATGCGTACTCCCTATGTTCTACCAGAAACCTAAAATAACAATAATAATACAGAATGGATATCTGCATATCGAAAATACTACGACTAAGGTTTTTCTTGAAATCTCTGACATAAATTAGTTGATTTCTGTGAAGTATTTATGGTGATAACCTGGGAATTAATACCTTTTAATAGGATCATTATATTTATAATAATATCTCAGTTGTAGTAGAATATATCTAGCATTTATTGAAAATCAGAAGAAGCATGGTGTCTTTCCATCCACTGTACTTGATTATTCAACCTACAAGATACATGCTCGCGTTGTCAGTGTATTTTCTTATAAATTCTTCGGATATGGAAATACCATTTAAACTAGTAGTTGGTTATAGGATTTCGTCATGAGCTGAAATCAGTTAGAGAAACACTGGAGAACCTGCAGGGACTACTGGACAGCTGTTTCATCCTAGTTTATGATTCTTCATAAGTACGCTCCCACCGCCACGGTTCGAACCAAGTACCTTCTGGTTACAACGCGAGCTAGTAGACCATTAAGACACTGGGACCGGATCCAATGGCCCGTGAATTTTGCCCGACTTCTGCCAACTCATGTAACCAATCAATCAAATTCCTACAAACTAATACTTGAACATCAATGAGATGCTCAGCAGCGATTCGCCTTATTCAGGTAGGTAGTTGCCTGGAGTTCTAGCGGGGAGTCCTGACCAGTGGGGTATTGCAGGTAGGGCGTAAGGACAAATACTTACCGAAGACATTGGCTGGTGGTCTCACTATTTCATAAATTGGAAGAAGCTAGAATTCATGGGCACGCCATTGGATAGGGTCCCAGTAGCTTAAGGGTCTACAAGCTCGCCTTGTAACCAGGAAGTCCTGGTTTCGAAACCTGGCAGTAGTTGAGCACTAATGGAGTCCAGTACTGTCCAGTACTCCGCGGTGGGTTTTATAATGGTTTTCTAACAGATGTCAGCTCATGATGAAATCCTCCAACCAATCAATCAAATCTCTACAAAGCAGTTCTTAAACCACTGGTTACTGGAATTAGTAATAAACACTCTATAGACTAAGAAACCTTATACAAACGAAATAAGAAGCCTAAAACTTTGTCATCTCTTTTAGAGTGATGCGATCGTTCCTAAATGAAAATTTCAAATTCACTTAGCAGTTCCCTGTAACTGGTGTCGCCAGCCTTTTAGTCACACTTAATGTCAAGTAAATTGAAGTCTCCTTGTTTAGTGCAAAAGATTGTACATTTTCTGAAGTATTATTAGGTTGACTCTGGGACTGAAACACAGTCAACAAGGACTGTAAGATTCTTTTATTGCCAGAGACTTATATATAATACTTTTATTCTATCAAATATCACACTGTCTAATTAAAAGAAAACAACTGCAAATGTCCTTACAAAATTTCTTTCTTTCTCTGTGTGAATTAAACTAAAAATATCATGCTGAGGTAACAATGAGAGTACTACACAGGTTAAGAAAGCCTTTTGAGTATCTAATTCGTACTAATCCGATCACTTTTATAAGTGTAGTAATACTTTGAAATATCCATCAACAGGATGATAGAAATATCTGATTCGCTGTAGGAAACTGAGACCTATACACAAAAAAATCGATCCCTTCAGAATAAAACATAAAAGAATAAAGAGTGAGAGAGAGAATATTTAAAGAATATTCAGTGAGAACGTTCAAAACCTTGATATTGAACATTGAAATTCGCCATTTTAATTACACTAAAACAAACAAATAAACAGAATACATAAAAAGCAAATCAGCAAGTGTTAAACTTTTAGTCTTTTGTTGTTTTTGTACTAACTAATATATTTTCTTTCTAACTAACTACAGATGACATATATCATAATACCATTAGTTTCAAATTGAAGAAATGAAAAGGAAAATAGTATCCATAATATTCAATGTATTAAGAAGTAGAAGGGTTCACAATT